TTCACAAGTTCAGTGAAATATCCAAGATTGGCCAATAAGTGCTGAGAACTGAAGTTCATATTTTTCACAGCACTGGCAAGCCAAGTCATTGCAGGACAAGATCTTGATTATGTTTAATTTGAAATTAATTGAGCACACATTTCTTAGATAAGAACATTTATATTTTTATTCTAAAGTTTGCACTGAACAGCATTGTGAAGACTTCCATAGCTCATTCCTTTGTATGGCTTGCTTTTTGAACACCAGGTTGCAACATCATTTGAGGAATCATAACCTATTTTTTAAATGTGTTAAAAAATCCACTGGTGCTTAATAAAGAGCTTAATAAAATCACAGGCAGAAAAATATAGATTATGGGCCATTATATGTTTAATAGTATGCAAATACTGTTAAATGAGACCACGACTGCAAAGAGATTTAAACAATTCGAAATAACAAATGTAATTTCTTAGGGCTGAGATTTAACAATAATAAATTAGAAATTAAAAATCGTACATGTATTGAGTTTATATCTTGACTTTTACAGATTGTAATCTCATCATAGTAGACAAAATTGCAAACAATTGTAGCTCAAATGTTTTATGTTTCTGTTTACCTGTAAAGGTAGCTAGTATGTTCTTATGTGAGTAAGATAACTAAATAAAGGACACATCACCAATGTTATAGTCACAATCTTGCAGAAATTACAAAATTTAGCCTATGTTCATTTATCAGAAAGCAGAGAAATAAATGATGCAAAGTGAACTTCAGCCTTTCTCCCCATCTATTTCCAATTCATACGATATTATTCTAAATTGTTTCTTGGATAGAAAGATGTCACCCTAATCTCCTCTTTGCTCTTGGGGAGTGGCAGTTGGCCAAGAACTCCAAGGTTCCAAATGGAACATGATCGACACCTAGTGGCCACAGACAGGGTCCCTTTGTGATTTGTTACTACAGCAACAAATGATGTCCTAAGAAAAGGATCTTTGGAGGAGAGGAATCTTAATTCCCACATCACTTTCCGTCACCCAAATTTGACTCGGTGTTGCCATCTCAGCTTATTCCTGCAAAGGAGGGGCATTCAGTTAATGCAGCTGCTAGCGAGCTCAATCCCTCCATGCTCCATGTTTAAGCTGTATGAAATGCCACAGAATAGCAAAACGTACTGGTCAAAACATGTTTTTACTTGAACTGAATAGGGTGTTCATACTACAAAAGTAAATAAAACAAGACATTCCTGCTTTTTGTGTTGTTGTTGTTAATCCTCACCCGAGATATTTTTTTCACTGATTTTTAGAGAGCATGGAAGCATGGGGGGGTGTGGGGGACGGAGAGATGAGAGACATGTATGTGAGAGAGACACATCAATTGCTTGCCTCCCACATGCACCCCCTGACTGGGGCCTGAGATCAAACCTGCAACCCAGGTACATGCACTTGACTGGGAATCAAACCTGAGACCCTTCCGCTTGGCCCAACATTCTAACCATTGGACATTACCGACCAGGGTGCATTCTGGCTTTCTTTTAAATTAGCCTTCTGTTATTTTTTCCCAAAGGCATCTACTCAGGAGATGTAAATAAAACATCTCAGCCAGAACTGAATAATTTTTCCAGCATCGCAGAGGAATTAAAAAAAAAAGTAGATAGGCTTTGTCTTACCACAGCTCCCTGGTTAGCCACTTTTGGCTGGGGAGAAAGGAGGAAGGAAGGATAGGGAGGAAGGATCTGAGTAGCGTCCCCTGGCTGCTGAGTTCGTAAACAAGAAAATGCGAACACATGGTGTGTTATTTCAGAAGTTAAGGAGGTGATGTGTGTCCTATTAGCTTGTATTAGATAGCTTACAAAACAGTACAAGCGTGTGCTAAAAGAGACCAGGGCTTTTTTGTTTGTTAGTTTTCGTGAGACGGGGCAGGTTGTTTGTGTGCCTGTGTCTATGAATATGTATTTGTGTGTGGGTGTGTCTGCTGGAGGAACAGCCTATTGATTCACCGCAGAGTCACCTGATGGACCTAGACAAAGAAGTCTATTATCACAAAGGCCTTCCTGGGACAGGGTGTTATAGTAGCTGTTGTGTTTCCATAGCAACCTGTGGATAGGATTGGCCAGAAAAGACCAGGGGCCCTGTGCATAAATGACAGAATGATGACAGCAACGACTGGCAAAAAAAGAAGCCCAGGGCAAGATAAAAGTGTAAAAAGAAATGCCTACATGCTATGTATCACAAATTCTATTTAAAAATTGGTACCTCTGTTTAAAGATAAATCAGGTTTACAAGGTCAACAGAGGCAATTGGTGAATAATTATTTACTTGATCAAGACATGAAAGATTAGAAATATAAGGTCTTAGGGAGGGCTTTTAGCTTAAGTTGAAAAGAGAAAAAGAACTAAATCAGGTTGGGGGAGCAGATTTGCTGAGGATGCCCTTGGGGAGGTGGTTGTTTCGGATGTATTTCGGGTTCCTAAATGGACGTCTCACTGTGCGCAGTCCCTTCTCTGGCCTATCCAGAGGTCTAATTGAGTTCATAAGTTAAAAAAACCAACATTCTAAATGCAGAAATAAAAAGCAAAAAATGTAAACGAATTCAAACTGGATATTTACCTGTGTGTTTATAACGTCCTGAGCATGGCTCCTCCGAACAGTGAACACCTATGAGTAGGCATATTGAAGATGTTCCACAGACAGGAACAGTAAAGGCCCTTCAGGTACCTGAGTGGATGCATTGAACCACCTGGAGGAAGCAACAGAGCAGTGCCAGCTGGAGCCAGCTGCCACCGACCACATTGCACCCTCCTACCCACAGTGCTCCTCCAGGGACTTTTCTATCTCTTGGGTAGCTGTCCACTAATCCTGATAGAGATGAGAATAATACTAATGAACAGTAAGAAATCCCATCAAAATTTACAAAATGTTTTTACATCTACCTGTCGAAAGCAAGTGTGACTATTGTCCCTGCAGTTTATAGAAGCCGAGCCGTAGGGAGAACACAAAAAATATTTGAGGTCAAACATCTCATACGAAAATGGGTTGTTCAGTCGGTCTTCTGACAACAAAGCCCCTGGTGATGAAAGCTACAAGGCCTGATTTCTTCCAGAAGTACTTTCAGTTTAATGTAGAACTTTAATCAAGAGCCTGAAAAACCTTTCAAAACAAAAGGCTTAACTTCCCAATGTTGGGAGTATAAATAATTTTGGATCATGTCTAGGGGCTTTCCCCTAGGTCCTCTGAGGATTCTCCCAGGGCGGATTCTCCATGATTGGCCCTGTTCTGACAGAGAGGTTAGGCTGCTCGAAGGTTTTGGCAGCCTGATGTATCCTGGGACTTATCTCACAACATCCTAAATTGATAGTTTTGCTGTTTGCTATAATGTTAGGTGGAACATTCTTATTAAAGGTACCACATGTGTATTTGCTATCTCTTCATATAATCAACTGAGATAAAATCTTTTTAAAGAAATCCTCACTTGAGGACATGTTCTCATTGATTTTAGAAAGAGAAAGGCAGAAAGCAAGAGCGAGAGCGAGAGCCAGAGTGTGTGAGAGAGAGAGAGATCAGTTGCCTCCCATACCTGTCCCAAGTGGGGATGGAACCCGCAACCTGGATATGTGCCTTGACTAGGAATCAAACCAGAAAACTTTTGATGAGCCGGACAATGCTCTAGTCACCTGAGCCACCTGGCCAGGGCTCAGATAAAATTTTAATCAGTTCTCTGCAACAATTTAATTAAGGACAATATGATTTATCATATTCCCAGAGGTATTAATTAATGAAACAACTCTCCTTTTTCTCGTTCCCTGATCCAAATTCAATGACTACCCTGAACATATGTCTGCAGCATGCCTAAAAAGAGAAATAGTAGAAATGTTAAAGAAGCAAATGAATAAACAAAAAGGGCAAAGCAACTCTAGTGGGAACTCAGGATTCTTGGGAAGTCTTGTGATCTTGGATAAGACACAAGATGTTTACAAGTATTCAATTCACAAGCTGCCAATAATTTATCAATAATTAGTCAAACAGCCTAATTATTTTAGTTACTGTTTTTTTTTTAATTGACTTGAGAGAGAGAGAGAGAGAGAGAGAGAGAGACATCAATTTGTTGGTCCACTTATTAGTGCATTCACTGGTTGATTCGTAAGTATGTGCCCCGATGGGGATGAACCTGCAACCTTGGCGTAGCAAGACAATGCTCTAAACAACGGGCAACCCAGCCAAGGCCTGTTTTAGTTACTCTTTTTTTTTTTATCCTCACCCGAGGACACCTTTCCATTTTTTGTTCAGGTAGAGTGGGAGGGAGAGAAAGGAAGAGAGAGAGAAACATTGACGTGAAGGGACACATCGAGTGGCTGCCACCCGCACGACTAACCAGGGCCGGGGACAAACTGCAACCGAAGTACGTGCCCTTAGGGGGAACCGAACCCGGGTCTCTCTGTACCGCAGGCCAATGCTCCAACCGCTGAGCCAAACCGGCCAGGGCTGTTTTAGTTACTCTTTATTTTGATGGGATATCTTCAGTTTTTCAGCACATATGTTTCTCTGAGTGCCCTGACACAATTTATTAACTCTCTAAACTTTCTGACCAGAAAAATGCAAAAAACATAGAATGCACATATGAACTCAAAGCAAAGTTTTCTCTTATGTACCCACCATCATGGAAAACTTTCTTGGAAAACGTAGTCTGTGCACTCATGTGTCTAGAAATTTATTATTGAAAGGAAATGAATGTTTCTTGTTACCTGGCTTTTTGTGAGGGTAGCAAATGCATTAAAAACATTGGCTATCTGATCATTTGGGGGTGGGGTGGGGTAGAAGAAACTGATATGAAAAAGAATGAAGGAGAAAAGGATAAAAAAATCTTTAAAAATACATTGGCTATGGAAAATGTTCACCTAATAGCTACTTAAAACTAGGCAGAGTCATTTCTATATGAGAACGCAAAAGAATATATCAAGATTCTCCAAATATTCCACATCCTAAAAGAAGTCTCTGAATATAAGATTTAATATAATAAATGTCTTTTTGTGTGTGTGTGTCTATAATGTCTTTTTGTCTTAACATTAAACTTCTGGTAATTTCAACTTATGTACTGAACTGTGAATATTAAAAAAATCAACATAAAACAAAAAGTGTGATCTGAAAGACAGTAAAGAAGGTCTTCGAGCAGCTGAGAGAGGTTTCCCCAAGCTCACGTGCTTTTCTGCTGTGGAAAGAGCCTCCCGGCGTCACTCTGAGCCCCTTCGCGTTTCCTGTGCATGCAAGTGACTAGATTTCTGAACTGACGTGGGCTTCACAAGGCTTTGTGAGACCATATTTCTTTGAAACCCCAATACTAAACACGAAGCAGTACATAGAGTCGGCTCAATACATATTTAGTAACGAGTGAGAAGATTAGAAGCGGTATTTTGTAGTTGGAGTTGTTGGAGACAAGTCCATACAGGTGGGAGAATTTATAGCTGACAGCCTGAAATCTACAGAAAGCGTGAGAAAAATCATAGACCCCAGACATAAATGTCACCGAATTAAAGACACACAGTCCTGCATATTTTGCTAACCTCTGAGGGATTATAACACAGATACCAAACCCGTTCCATCAACAATAAACATCTTGAGTCATTAGAAAAATATTAAATTTTGTTTAATAGCCATTTAATAAAAGTCAGGGAGCTGTACAGTGCACTTTTTAAATCTTCCCATTGGAGAGGATATTAAAATAGTGATGACAGAATATTGTGTACCTGGAAAAAAGTCCTTCGTTCTATTCCAGGGTGTTTAACTCCACAGTATCTTTTGTAGACATAGAAAGTATACGTTTCCTTTGCCTTTCTGATTTATTAAGCATCCCAGTACAGAATTTTAATATATTCCACATATCGGATCTTCCTGTTTCCGTTACAAAACAGTACAGAATTGGATCCGCAACACAATTTAAACTCGTTAATGCAACTGTGATTCTATACATTTTATACGTCTGTTTCCCATACCTGTGGTCAGACATAGGCTCTAAAATGCTGCGCAGCAGCAACATCACATGAAAGGGAGTGAAGCACAAGACAAAGGTCACGGTGATACTAACAAGTAGTTTTATGATTCTTCTTTTTTCACGGTTTTCCGTGGCCCGATTACGCTGCACCGCTTGGTAGACTTTCTGGTTGCAAATCATTATGATGGCCAAAGGTATGACGTAGCCTGTACACGTCCTAAACCAGTTGAACTTAATCTCCCATTTCTCCAAAGGGTATCTATCATAGCACAGAGTAAAATTAATCTCCTTGGCATCACAATATTCTGTAGATGTCTCATCTTCCCACAGAAGGATAGCATTGAAGATGGTTTCCACTACCCAGATGAATAGGCTGACCATGAACGCGCATCTTCTTGTTCTTAGGAAAAAAAACTTCAAAGGGTAGACAACTGCTAAGTACCGGTCCACAGAGATGCAGGTGAGGAAGGCAGTGCTGCTGTAGAAGTTCACGTACATGAAGAAAGCACACCCTCTGCACAAGGCGTCGGAGAAAACCCAGTTGTCTTGATTCCAAGTGTAATGAATCCACAGAGGGAGAGTGAGTGTATACAGCAGATCTGACAGGGATAAACTGAAGAGGTAAATTCCTAACTCATTTTCCTTCTTTGCTTGTACAAAAGACACGCAGAGAGAGCCAATGTTGGCTGGAATGCTGACTATCACCACGAAGATGTAAACAATTGGGAACAAATAGTGATCCAGGTCGTGCTGTTCATCAGTGCATGTGCTGTTCATTTTCTTCTTTTTAACGTGGAAATTGCATCAGTTCTTAGGAGCTAAGAAGAAAAGTAAGTCTTGCCTTGTTTAGTTTGTTCTCAGCATCTAATTCTCTTTTACTAAGATTTCTTTAAATTTTCTTTGCTTCCAAAAGTTCTGATTAATTCATTAATGCTTTGAAAGAATGAATGTAGACCACTTTTCACACAGATGTCGATGGTCCCGAGTCAGAATCCAGGCACCTGGCAGTTAGCTAGGGTGGCCAGTTGATTTTGATCTGCAGATGTCCACGTGTTTGTCATCACAGAATGCCAATGAAGAACCCCTCCAGGATCAATCTTCAGAGAGTGTTGTCCTCAATTTTTTTCCTGCTGTGAGACTCAGGAGATTGGTGCAAACGCAAATATATACGACTTTATTTTCACAGAGATTGACATCTCTTTTTAAAATGCCTTTGTTTCTGTAATAAAAGATGAACTACAATAGTTTATGTGTTTAAAAGATACATCATGGTTTTGCAACAATCTTCTTTTGTTCATTTATTAGAGATAAAAAAATGCATTAAGTTACAATAAAGGTGTTTTTAAAGGGAAAATGATCTAATTGACTTTAGTAAATAAAATCAAGCTGACATATTTTACCTACTTCAAACAAAAACTATCCAAGGAATGCTAGGTTAGAGGAAATTATATTTCTCACTGGGCATGATCTAAGAACACAAAACTAAAGTTGAGAAGTCATTTTAAGAGCTAATAAAAAAGATGGCAAATGCATTGATTTATTTGTACTCAGTAAAGGCATTTGAGTGTATGATAAACTATATAGCGGTACAGTTTCACATTTTTAATTTCATATGCATTCCAAGTATAAGGCACTTTCAAAATCAGCTTAGTAGCCAAGAAAATATTGTCCAAGACATCCGATGAAGTATTTTAAACTAGCACAGCTTATTAAAATTCCATCAAGAATTAGACAATATTGCTTCTTCTGTTTTTCCTTTGCTTCTTTTGCGGGTTAACTAATTTTATTGTTCTGATACTCTTGTGAAATAGGGGGCAACATGTTCTCAGTTCTGGTTAAAACCTTGGGATCATCCGTTTCCTTCTTTATTAGGTTAGTTTTTAAAAAACATGTAGAGGTTTGACTTCACAGGTTCATGTAGGAATAGAAAACCCATCCTTCTCTCCATACGAAGTAGAGAAATACTTCTGTCCATCTCCCTTCACTAGCAAGGCCCATTGGTGCTTTAGATGATTTATCAGTGGGCACATTCACAGAACACTTTGTAGAGCCACTGGGCAAAAGAAGGAAGATTTACCTCTTCCTGTGTGCTGTGGGGCCTAGATGAGACCCAAACCACCCCCTTCCAAGTGTCATTGAGCCCTAAGCACAAAAGAGACCTGTCACCACAAGGCACAAGGATTCTGACAGTAGAGTAACTAATATCCAGAGCACATAATATAACAATGTCACTCTTCAAACCAAACGAGGAACTGAAATCTAGTTTTATCACACCCAAATATGTGAATAGAATGTGAAAAACAGCCCTTTGAGTCAATGGATGTACCTTCCAGAGAGGGTGGGGGGGAATGTGATAGAAAAAGGAAGTGGGAGCTGTGATCAGGGAGGTAAGTGAGCAGTGAAGCTCGGGGAGGCCGCTGTGGACCTGGAGGAACCGCGGCCCGAGAACCCAGCAGAGCTGGAAATGGAGTGTGGGCCATGCAGGCAGGAGTGGTCTTGGGCCATCCCCATACATGTTGGGATCCCGGAGCCCCTGCCTTCAAGTGAAGGCTGAACTAGAAAATAAACAAAATAAAATAACAAAATGGACAGATCTTTGCAGACAGCTGGGTAAGTCGGCAAGTTCCTTGTCTCAGTTTTGTTTCTAGGGAAAGCTGTAATTTAAAGAATCCTCACGTATTCATGGCTTCTGGCTGGTCCTCACTTGAGAATGGGGTCCGAGTCTACACCATTCGAACTTCGGGTTAAGAATAAGTTAACACTGGATCTTCATTAGATATCGGGGAAACATAAACTAAAACCACAATGACATACAACTCCACACTCACCAGAATAAAGGAAATGAAACAGACAGAAAACACGGAGCGTTGTGAGGACGCAGAGCACCTGGACCACTTGCATACTACTGGTTGGAAAGCTGGCACTGTGTATCCCATACGGCTCCGCAACTCTACTTCTCGGTGCTCAACAGAAATACAGCCTATGATTTCCAGAAGATGTGGTAGAATTGGGATGTTCACAGCAGTACTATTTGTAATGTCCCCCAACTGGAATCCCCATTAGCAGTACAATAGATAAGTAAATTGCTATATATCAACACAATTGAAACCCATACATCAATGAAAATGAACAAATGATTGCTATATGCATGTAATAACATGGTGGAAGCTCAGAAACCTAATGCAGGGTGATAGAAAAAGGCAGGCACGAAAGGGTAACAGTATCTGATTAAAAACCAGATAAGGTTAATCTATGCTGTCAAAAATCAGTGAGGAGGCCCATGTACTGAGGGCTAGATGTTTTGGGCACTGTATTAAATGGCATGCATACTTGTTGTAATTTATATTTCACTCCAACTCTGTGCTATTTATTATAAGCCCACATGAAAAATAAAGAATTGAGCCACATATTAAGCAACGAACCCCAAATGATATAAGCAATATTCGGTAGAACTGAGCCACAATCCTAGATTGTTATGTTAGAGCCTCTTAACTATGTTGTCTTTTGCCTTTTGTTAACTGCAATTAAATAACTAAAAAGTAGAATCAAAAGTCTATGCGAGATGGGATGTGAAGAATCCCCACAATCAGTATCTGTTTCACCTGCAGATGGAGCATGTCTTCCTCAGAAAGGACTTGCTTTAACTTTTTCCTCACACATAAAAAGCAATAATTCATAGAAACAACACAAAGGTAATTTAGACAATATGAAAATGAATGCACCAAAAATAACTATTCTAGGCACCAAGAGGGAGTAAATACAAATCCTCTCTTCGGGAAAGCTCTGCTTCAAAGAATTCTCACAGATAGACTTCCAACAAATATGAACTCATTAACACACACACACACAGACACATAACACAAAACAGCTGTGACTGAAACTTGTCTAGAACTGATGAAGGACATGGAATCCTCAAATTTATAAAGCCCAGCGATTCCCACCTGGGATTACAAACAAACAAATGAAGATGGAAATCTCTACTTAGACATACTGCCATCAAGCTGCAGATCAACAAACACTAAGAAAAAAGAGCCACAGAGAAAAGATGGACTAGCTACAAAGGACGAAGTTTACACTGACAAAGGACCTCTTAACAGCGGTAACAACAGAAACCATAAGACAGCAGATTGATATTTCCAAATTGCTGAGAAAATGTATGTCATTGCATAATTGTGTACCCGACAGAACTCAATGTCGAAAGCAGAACAAAAGTAAAGACATGTTCAGATAAACTACAACTGAGAAAATTTACCCCCCAAATCCTTATTAAAGAAAGGATGTAAGCGAAGATGGAAAATGACACTAGAAAGAAGTCTGAGATGCATGAAGGACGAGGAAGCTGCTGAGAACAGAACTCCGATGGGCACACAGCATCATGTGCATTGATTGCCAGGCTTGTGTGTCTGGGAGAACACCTGAACCATGCAAATACTCTTTCTCAGGACCAGGACTGAGAGGGCAGGGTGATGGCCCGTGGGGGCCCCTTCCTCCTTTATCCATGCTACTCAATAAATATGCATCTTTTCTCTCTCTAAAAAAAAAGGATAAGATAACTAAAATGGAAAGTGATTTTAGGATGACTTATAAAGTTCTCAGAAGAACACATATCTTCCTTTGTAAAACCATTTCCTGTCTTGACTGAAACAACTGCAAGACAATGGTTTGATGAAGTAGATACTGGGTGTCTTCTCTGTTGGGCAACAGGGGCAGTGGGTGGGCTCCGGAGACTGAAATGCCCTCAGCAGTCCTGGGGAACTGGTCACCATGTGTGTTTCTTCCTGTCTCTAAGTTTCAGCTTTCACAGGTGTACGGTAGCAAGATAGTACCCACTTCATAGAGTTGTTGTGCGAATTAAATGACATAACACATGAAGCAAAGTACCTAGCACATGGTAAGCCTTAATTAAACATTAGCTATTATTGTTTTAATGACAATACCAATAGTCCAGGGGTGTCCTTTGTGCTGCCCCTTACATTTCCAAAAGGGAGGTCACCTACTCAGAACACAGCAGAGAAGCCAAAAGAACTCAGAGTGTAATTAGTATACTAACATTTCACATATGATACCAGCTCTGCAGGTAATAGTTGTTCAATTAATTAGTGTGAATCTGAAATTTTAATGAATATAGAATTCTTACTATTCATACATCTTTTCAGATATTATTTTAACTAATCAAACTTTGAGAAAAATTATTTTTAGAACCAGTTCTCAGAAATGGAAGTTTTTGATTTTTTGCTTTGATTGTTACCAATTGCCAAAGGAAGATAATCTATAGCATAGTAAAATATATCTGTTCTTAACCAGTTCCTAAAATAGTACAAATCATTGATGATAGTGATCAAAGGATAAACTGTTTGACCTGACCGGTGTGGCTCAGCGGTTGGAGCTTTGGTCCAGAGACCGAAGGGTTGCGGGTTCAATTTCCAGTCAAGGGCATGTACCTGGATTGCAGGTTCAATCCCTGGCTCAGTCCAGGGGACACGCAGGAGGCAACCAATCCATGTGTCCCTCTCACATGGATGCTTCTCTCTCTTTCTCTCCCTCTCTTGCCCTCCCTTCCACTCACTCTAAAAAAATAAATCAGTGGGAAAAACATCCTTGGGTAGGGTTAACAAAAACAGAAAGATAAAATGTTTTTCTACAGTGTTACAGAAAACATTTGACTTCAGTTATCATTTTAATAGCTAGTTATTAAGATTCTACGATGTGCCAGGACAGACGCTGTGCTACTCACTTATTAAGAGTTATTAACTGATACTTATTAGTAGTGGAAATATTATTTCCAAATTTCACATCAGTTCCGATGGTACAAAAAATGTCAGTAGATCACTGTGCTGATGAGGAAATTAACTAGCTTTACAGCCAGGAGCTTTCTAGCCAATTAATTCAGTGTGCCAATATACTGCTTTCAGAAGAGGAAACAGAGCACAAACATCCCTCTTTTTATAAGGATAGTTTTACCTTACTACTTGTAAATGCACATTTTGACATCCTTTTACCGCTGCTCAAAGTAGAGGAAACCATGTCATCCTCATTTCTCTCTTATAATGCTCCGAGTTGCCACTTTTATACAACCCAAACTAGATAGAGTATTGCCAACAACACTGACAATCATACAAAAGTGTGTTATCTACTTAAACATCTTATTTAATTAAAAAATTTTATACTTACCCAAGTTTCTTGGGGTGTCAACCGAGGAGCCAGAAAAATCTGCTAGCATCAAAAAGAGAAATCCACACTGTTGAGGGGACAGGAAATTGCACTCATATTTCATCATAAACCAATGAGGAAGCAGCACCTTACCAAGAAGGATATACTGTACCCAAGTGTGAACAAAAAAAAAAGTCTCTTAAATACTTTAAAAGGTGTTTTATCTATTATTTACTATAGTATTATTTTTATAACTCGCTTTTCTCTTTGCATATTAATTATAATTGTATATCAATATCATAAGGGAATTATTTAATAGACTATGTACTAGAATTCATTTATTCATTGATTTAGTCATTCATTTGCTCTATCAACAAATATATCTACTATACTCTTAGCACATAGCTCTGGGAGATCATTAGGACCTGGTTATAGCCTGTAGGAGCTCATCACCTAGTGAAGGAGAAAGGTACATGCAATAATAACCATCATACAATGACAAAAAATAGAGAAACACTCTGAGAGAGGTACAGAAATATAGGATGAATCACTGGATGTGAGATAGGCTAGGATGTTGTAGATGGATTCAGGGTGGTCAACATCCTTGGAAGAAAAATAGCAGAGGGAGGGGGCTGGGTGAATACTAAGCATGTTTCATTGCTTAATGGGAGTGACAGTGGAACTAACTAAGGTAGTCAACTGTGCAAAGTCTTTTGTTCTTTAAAGGGACCAAGTGGATTAGCTATATAGTATTGTATTGCAGAACCATTTTCTCCTTTGATTCTTGGACTAGAAGGCCATGATTGCTGAAACCATGCTAAAACTAGTTAAACTAACTGGTTTGGAAAAATTAATGATTTTATGAAACTTGAAAATTCGTTTGAGAAAGGTATGGATTCTAGTAATGAAAACTCATGTAGTACTTGAACACGTAGACAGTTGCCGCCAAATCTGTAAGTGATTTAATATGAAGTGAAATTAGCTCCTAGAACTTTTCAGATATAAAAAAGTCAGAAATCACTTTTTTTTTAATCCTCACCCAAGGATATTTTTCCACTGATTTTCAGATAGAGTGGGAGGGAATGAGGGAGACAGAGAGAGAGAGAGAGAGAGAGAGAGAGAGAGAGAGAGATCAATGTGAGAGACACATCGATTGGTTGCCTTCCACATGACCTCAACCAGGGCCAGGGATCAAGCCTACAACTGAGGTACGTGCCCTTGACTGGGAATCAAACTTAACTCTGTGGTCTGATGATCTGCTGAGCCAAACCAGCCAGGGCCGGATATCATTTTTGAATCTTGTCATCTCAATCTTTTATTACAAATGAAATGGGAGCATATTACTTTATAAGGAAAGAATTAATGAGATGGAAATATTTAACTAGAACCACTGTAATCAGGACAATTTGAGTCTATTTTTGTAAAGGAATATTAGGGGTTGTTGTTTGTACTTTTTCTTTATTTTCTCCAGAGATGGAAAAGATGTCTTGTGATATAACCATGGCTATACAGGATATAACAGGAATGTAAAGGTTTTCAATACTTCCTTTGTAGGTCTTTCATTGAGAATAATAAAAGTAATAACTTATAATTTATAAAGTGCATAAGAATTTTCAAAGTAATTGAGCATACATTAATATAAAATTTAGAATACTTTATATTTTTATCAAATTTATGAAAACATTAAAGTATAATATGGAAAATTAATAATAAAACTCTTAAGCCTTTACAAAAACAAAAGTAATGATTTCAGTTTAGTCGTGATTCGAGTTCTCATTTTTGCTCGGTTCTGCATATCTGCTTATCTGTTGCATTTACACATGGGTGTTTTATGACTCTCCGTACCTTCCTTATCTCCTATTTTATCTACGTAGACTATACTTCTGCTTTTAGGAAAAGGGTATTTTTCATATTAAATACTTATGTATTTTGGTCATTAAAAAAAAAAAGGATGTAGTTAAAAAAAGAAGAAACACAAACTTTCACTTTGGATTAAATAGGAGGAAAACTGGCTGGCCTATGCTGAAACATGTTTTACACAGTAAGACATTTCATAACTCTTAACAAATTTGTTTTTTCATTTAGTCCACAATATTTGGCAATACTGCATTTTCAACCACAGGGCTATCTTAGGAGGGTTGGCTTGAAAGCTGTTGAGTCTCTGTGACATTTTAAATGCCAAGGGAAGAAAAAGCCAATAAGCAATTATTTAAAACACTGCCTTGATGGGATTTGCACTTTTGATGTGTCAGTTATCTGGTCTTCTGAAGCTAAACAACGGACACCCAACACTGGCAAGTGGCGGGGCACCTGTGCCACCCATGTGGGAAAGGGGAAGAGAATGTGGTTCTGCTCAGTTCCAACTTCTCCATGTGGCTGACAGTGCAAGAGTCCAATCTGCTGACGAAGGGGTCTTTGTGAGGCCACACCGTCTGTTTGGTGCAACTTCACTAGCTAAAGCAGCACGTATTGCTTCTTTGAAAGAATTCTTGGGAGAAAAGTAGGTTGGTGGAGTGTGGGGAGAACACATTACTTAGGTTTTGAGCTTCAAAAGATTTAGGCAACTCAGGAGAATGTAAAGGACTGAGGCGCAGACAACATGCTTGTGAGATCTTTATCTCTTGAGATAAAGCAAAGCTTCCTGCCCCCAAGAACAGAAAAAAGTGTTCTTCTGCCTGGAGGAGGTGGGACTTAGGGTTATAAGAGATGTAGTCACGACAGTTCAGATGTGGTGGACGGAGACAGGGACCCTGAGTCCCGACTCCCTGTGTTATCAGTGGGGAGAGGTCCTCGTACCCACCTGTTGCTTGTGGGAGTGGGCTTCTTGAGATATCCCAAGCAAAGGACTTTTTTAAGACTTGCACAGGAGGGTGAGTTATTGTAGAAAGCTTTATTTCTGTGAAATCAAAACCCTGAGTTTCCAAGGTCCCATTTGTTTGTTGGACCAAGGAAAAAGTGTAGCTGTGGCTTCAACAGGGCTAGAATCCAAGCCAGGGTACAGATTTGTCACTCCACATTGGAGCAGTGTCGAGACCAGCATCAGGGGAGCTTAGTTTCTGTTCCCCACTGCAGTTCATTAGTCCATTGCATGTGGGGTGAGCTGCACCAAGGAATACAAGAGAGCCAAGAGCCAAGAGAGAATGAACTCCTTTGTCTACAGGATTATGTATTCCCAACTTTTTGTGGGCTTGCAATGGCCCTGACTACTCTAGCCAGTCCATGGTTCCCCAGGCTTGACTGACAGCCACTTTCCCTGTGTCACCCTGACTCATTGTACATGCATCCATCTTCCCCTTTGTTCAGTCCCTTCCCCCAGTTATCTGTAGGGAGTGGGCCAGTGGTTCCCTGGGTAGTGTGAAATTGCTGCTTCCTGGTGCGGCTGCCCAAATGACCATGCTTATAATGTCTGGTCTCCCTTTTTCTCCTTTTCTATTATTAATAACTGGCTAATTACAACAGTATCATCTGCATCCACCCCAGTAAGCTCTGAGGTGGGGTTCAGGTGATGCTGGATGAATCACATGGTCTGGGGAGGAGAATGGACCTGTGTCTCACATCCAGGGTGAAGTCCAGATAGGTGGCAAGACTCAATAATACAGCTGTGAGAGGCCTGAAGCAGCCTCACCAGGTTCCCTGTGCCCAGCACAGAACAGGTGAGGTAGAATGATGTCTGGAAGGACCCTGAGGGGCACACAGAAGTGATGGAAGGCTTCAGCCTACTTAATGGTGCTTCCAGTGGCCCTGTGCGTCATAGAAGCTCCTTTGCAGCTACTGATGAGGGATAACTCAGGTGAGTCCTGCATGGGCTAACTACTGAAAATCAGAATGAGGGCATCTCAGGCCAGCAGCATTGATAGACCGCTGCCATGGGAACCAAGGCTTGAGCTACTACCTTCCAGCCTTGGCAATATGCAAACTCCCTGGATCTTAGATGGTGTTATGGGCTGAATTGAGGATCCCTATCCCTCTGCTAACATTCATATGTCTAAGTCCTAACTTGCAGTACCTCATAGTGTAACTGTATTTGAAGATAGGGCATTAAGGAGGTGATTGAGTTAAAATGAAGCTGTTAGCATGAGCCCTAAACCAATTTGTCCTCATAAGAAGAGATTTGGACACAGAAAGAGACACAGGCATATGTAGGCACACAGGAAAGCACACAGCCAGCCAACTGCAACCCGAGGAGAGAGGCGGCAGAAGAAAGCACACGTTGACACCTTGATATTGAACTTCCCAGCCTCCAGCACTGTGAGAAAATACATTTCTGTTGTTTAAATCACTCGGTCTTTGGTATTTTGTTATGACCGCCTAAGAACACTAATACAGAAGAAGAAAAGGCTGGACCCTGAATTGACTAAGTTTCCACCACCTTGGTAGAATGGGGGCTTGAAACAGCATTTTTGTTGCGTTATAGAAAGATAAGGAATGTTCTATCGCTTGCATCACCTGTGGTTATGTCCTGAGATTAGAATCCACGGGGTTAAGATTGGGTTAAGATCACACATTTGATCCAAGGTGTGTAACACAACAGACATTTACTAAGCCTTTTTATAAGACTGCTGAGCAAAAACCTTGGTTGGCTGCTACGGTATGGCAAAGCTCCCCAGGATTCAGTAACATCAGTTCTCCAAGTGTGGTTCTTGGAGCAGTAGCATTAATGTCACTCGGGACAGTGTGAGAACCACAGTTCTGAGTCTCACCCCAAGCTCAGGGAGTCGAAAGCTCTGGGGTGGCAGTCCAGCAATGTGTGTTACAACAAGCCCTCCAACTGATTCTGACGCTCCCAAGCTTGAGAACAACTGGTGTACAGGATGGGTGCCTGGGTGAGAGACTGTGAGGTGTGGGGGAGAACAGAACCTCTGAAAAGGAGGAAGGTGGAAACATTTTGTGTTGGAATTCTTGTCTGTTTTGGATACTTTAACCCCACTGACTTTTCATCAGTAATTGAATTCCCTTATGCATCATTGTACCATTAGTTCATTTGGCTTCACCTTCTATAAAAATTTGAGCCAATAGGAGCTTCTGATTTCAGACTTGCAAATGTCTTTGACTTCAAGGTTAAGTCAGAACATGCTTAAATATAGTAATAGTTAAAATGGAGATGTGTTATCAAACTAAAGACTAGAGTCGTTAATATCCTAAACCCCTTTTTAGAGGATATATATTTCTTGATGTCTGTGAATTATGTAAATAGCTTTGATGCCTTCATTATGTCCACATATTAAATTAACAACCCAATGTTAAGAAGACTACTAACTCCAAATAGTTTCCTCTGATGTGTTTTGGGTGTGCAGACTGCTGATTAGATTAATTTTTGAAGTCAGGATAATAAGTGTAGATTCTTCTGGAAGTGTTTTTTTCTGTCAAGTTTGTTATGATGGGGATAGACAGTTGATAGTTTAAGATTTAAGATCCAAAAAGTGTTTCATGAATTCAGGTTTAACCAAGGCATTCATTATTATTTAAGGGGATTCAACCCAAAGGATAGGGCAGAGAAGAAATACAGATGATTGGCAAAAATTGAGCCAGGTGAGGCAGAGTGACTAGGGAAAGACAGGAAGGAAGATCTGGGGCCAGTGTGACTGGTGTGGGTTCTGTGGCATCAGGCCCAGTAAAGGGTCTGTTACCTAGAGCTGTGGGTAACATCAAAATCCATAGAATGAGCAGAGCAAAGATTATCGTGAAAACCCACGAGTGATAGGAATAGCTAAAATTTTATAAAAAATAATGCTAGTCTTTATTCTCCCCAGTGCTTTTTAAGAGGATGCTAAAATATCTTTGCAAATGCATAGTAATTGAGTAAACTCTTTATGATGTTTTATAATACCCATTTCCTTCAATAAGTTCAATATTAGTTACTGCAGTATTTAATGCTACATCATATGAGTGATTTGCTAAAACCATCATGGGTATGAGTGGTGATTTTAAAATATGTTGACAAATTCTTTGACACTCCTCCTTTCAGAAAGTGAAGCCTAATTTTCCTTGTCTTGAGTATGGGCTAGACTTAGTACCTCACTCCTCATGAATAGAATAAAGCAGAAGCAAAGGCGTGCGTGCTATTTTGGAAGAAGGTCAAAAATGTCGTGACTTCCTCTTCTCTCTCTCCTTCTCTCTTTGATCGTTTGGTCTGAAGGAAGCCAGCCACCAAATCATGAGATAAGGCCCACACATGATCATTTGTCTAACTACCATTTCCGTTTTTCTCACATCTTGAGCAAATTTGGGTGCTGTGCCCAGTCGTCCAAGGATTTCCCTTTCTCAGTTTTTCTTGCTTTTTTATTAGAAACTTCCCTGTCTAATGGTTTCCTGAGCATAGAATATAAATTTGAAACAGGAAATATTTTCTCTTGTAAGGCATTACTTTGGTATTTGAAATAATAGGAACTAGTGGTTAGCCTTGGAGGCAAGGCTAGAGTTTCTGTTAAATATTCTGTGTTTCCTCTTCTGTAGATTTCACACACTGCACAAAAATATTTGTGGGGTGCCTTCCAAATACAAGGTGAGATGATGCACTGCAGGATGACTAATGCTGGACAGTTTCAATTTCCTCATGTTACATGGTATTTTCCTCTATTATCACCTTGGTATTTCCCTTCTAGTGACATTATTATACACACGTTATACGTATAGCATACAAATAAAATCCTGGGGTTGGTAGGCAGCTTAGCATTCACTTGGCTTCTCATCTACTGTTGCTCCAGCTCATGCTTTACATACTGTGTTAGAGCAGATGGATCAGTGAGTTCTGGAAAGGTCAATCTATGCAAGTTGGATAGTTACTAACTTGTATCATAGATGGTGGTGGTAGGGAAGGTAGAGAGTTCAGGTATGCATGGTACTAGGAAAAAAAAGTAATAGAAGAAAACAAATGACTCATATATAGGGGACTCTATAGCTTATCACCCAAACCAGAACACTTTTGAGGGTGAAGGGGCAATAGACACAGCTGGGACGGTCCTTGGGAAACCAGATTAGAATGACAGTAATTTAAGAGAGAAAGAGCAAGTACAGCTGTTTTTCTTGGCAGCCTCTCAGGGACCCTTCAATTTGCCAATACCAAGGAAATCAGAAATCTCAGAGCAATGCTGGATGTGGCAGAAATTCCGGGACAATTCACAACTTTGTCGCCACGAGGCTGCTCTGTTTCATCTCACACCAAAGGAAACAGGCTCACAAAGCTATGTGACCAAGTGACAGCTGAACTGGGGCTTGGTTAAGGGCTGCAAGCCCATGGGTCAGTTCACTTTCTTGCACCATTGGCACGTGGTAGATGCACCTGAGATGCTGGTGGAGGGCGTGGCAGGCCTTGACATCCCTTCCCTCTGCTCATGTGCTCTAGCAGGGGATGGAGAAGCAGCGAAGTGAGCACTCGTTAAGACAGGAGCCCGACCCCGACGCTCCAGTGACCAGTAAAGGGTCCTTTGCTTTCGCAAGACAGGGAGGCGGCTGCGTCGGCGGCCTGTGGCCCGCATCCAAGATGGCGACAGAGGGGTCAGCGGCCTCCTGCCCGTTTCCATCATGGCGCCGGCCGGACCCGCCTCCCTGAGCGCCGGAGTCTTGTGACCCACACAATGGCTGTGAGCCTACTCCGGGCTTCCCGGCAACGCGGCGTGAGAGCCATGACGGCCGCCGCGGGTTCGGCGGGCCGGGCCGCCTTGCCCCTGCTGCTGTGCGCGCTGCTGGCGCCCGGCGGCGCGTACGTGCTCGACGACTCCGACGGGCTGGGCCGGGAGTTCGACGGCATCGGCGCGATCAGCGGCGGCGGGGTAGGTGGCGGGGGTCGGGGGTCGGGGGTCGGGGGCGCCGGGCCTCTCCGTCCCGCGCCACAGGCCCCCGCGACGCAGCCCCGCGTTTCGACGCACTGCGGCCGGGCGGCCTGGCTCGCGGCCCCTGCGCGCCTCCTGCGGGCTGCGGCCCGCGCCTGCCCTTCGGGGATGAACCTGCAGCGCAGCCGGCGCTAGACGAGCATCCCGAGGTCCTCCGCGCCGCCGGGACAGGTGCCGGCAGTCACAGCTGGGCTCGAACCCGCGCCTGGGCCCGGGGGCGCCCGGCTGTGCGCGCCGCCGAGCGGGCGCTGCGGGCGGGTTGCTGCAGGTCCAGGGAGCCGGCCCCGGCCGGGGTGATGCGCAGGGAGCGTCGGGGGCTGTACCCCCGCCGCATGGAGGGGGCCGCGGGGGGGGGGGCTGGGCCGCTAGTGCTGGGCGCCGCTGGACTCCGGGCGGGCCGGTGCCCAATAGCTGCTTTTTTTTTTTTTTTTAATTTTATTTTTCGATGACAGTTTGCATTCAACACTATTTTGTGTTAGTTTCAGGCGTACAGCACAGCGGATAGACGTTCAGATAGGTTACCAAGTGTTTCCCGGGTAATTCCAGTGCCCACCCGGCACCGTACAGAGTATGACAGCAGGGTCGCCCGCCTGTACTCCCTGTGCTGTACCTTACATCCCGGGGCCTGTTTTGTTACTACCAGTTCCAATGAGTACTTCTTACTCCCATCACCTGTTTCACCCCGCTCCCCAACACCCCTCCCCTCTGGCGACCATCAGTCTGTTCTCTGTGTATTTGAGTCCGAACAGGTTTTTCTTGGAGGTAGGAGAGCGGTGCCCCAAGGTCTCTTTAGTAAGGCCTGAAACTATCTGGGAGTTTTATTTATTTATTTTTATTTTTTATTTAGTGGCAGGCTAGCCCTGGCCAGTGTGGCTCAGTTTGTTGAACGTCTCCAGTGGGTGGAAAGGTCTGGCTGATTCAATTCCGGATCAGGGCACATACCTAGGATTCAGGTTCAATCCCCGGTTGGGGTGTGTACAGGAGGCAACAGATCCATGTTTCTCTCTCCCATCGGTTTCTCTCTCCCTTCCTCTCTCTCTAAAATCAATAAAAATGTATTTTTTTTTTTTAAGTGGCAGGCTATACTAGTATCAACTGATAGTCTAGGATTGTTTATTGTTGGGGGTCTGTGTTGCTTGCAGATGGTCGAGGCCCACAGGGGTGAGTTGCCCACTAGAAGTGGTCAGTGCCTCTGTACCTCATTTTTGTGTGGGAGGAGGGGGGAAACATTGGGTCAACAGACTAGACTGTGGCTAGCCATGGTTAGAGTGCATAAGAATCACCTGGTGTGCTTGGTGAACTGCAGGTGCTGGCCACCCCCACCCCCCATTCTGACAGCAGTTCTGGAATTGGGCCTCAGAATCTGAATTTTAGCCCTGGCCGGTTTGGCTCAGTGGTTAGAGCGTCGGCCTGCGGTCCAGAGAGACCCGGGTTCGGTTCCCGCTAAGGGCACGTACTTCGGTTGCAGTTTGTCCCCGGCCCTGGTTGGTCGTGCGGGTAGCAGCCACTCGATGTGTCTCTTCACATCGATGTTTCTCTCTCTCTCTCTCCCTTCCTCTCTCTCCCTCCCACTCTATCTGTACAAAAAATGGAAAAATATCCTCGGGTGAGGATAAAACAAAACAAAACAAAAACAAACAAACAAAAAAAGAATCTGAATTTTAACAAACGCACCAGTTGATTCCCATACTGAATATCAAGAGACATTTTTTTTTTTTTCTTTTCTGATTCAAGGATCTCTGGAGCAAGGGATGAATTTTTTAAAATAAACTTTTAATTTTAGAATAGTTTTAGGTATGCAGAAGAGTTGCTGAGACAATACTGAATTCTCATGTACCCTGCGGCAGTTTCCCTGTTATTAGCATCCCACCTTAGTATCGTACATTTGTTACAACCAATATTGATAACATTAATGAAAGTCTGTATTTCCTTTCATATTTCCTTAGTTGTTACCTAATGTTATTTCTTCTGTTCAGGGTCCTCTTCAGGATACCAGTTACATTTAATTGGCATGTCTCTTTAGTCCTCTTTCAGCTGCTACAGCTGAGTTAGTGTATCTGGGCATTCTATGAGATTTATGTGAGGGAGACATAAGGGCCACTCCAGCTTTGTGCAGAATTGTGTGGGCACAGGTGATCATTTCCTTAGCTCCCTGGTCATGCTGTCAGGTCGCCTCCAAGGTGTCGGAATTTGCTTGGTCTTTCTTTGATCCTTGGTAACCTTTGGGTCTGTAGGGTTTATGGTGGTGGACCTTTGGTTGAGAGGGATTTTCTTTTTTGTCCCCCAGACCACAGCTAAAGCTAATTTTATTTGAAAATGTTAAGGCTGAACTTTTGACTGGGTTGTTTGTTGGGTTGAATCAATTGGAACTTGCACCCTCAAATGCAATTCAGGACTAGCTTTGAATGCTTGTTTGCTGGGTGGATGTCTTATGCTGGTTTCAGCCTGCTGATAACCAGTGTTGTGGCTGGACTGGTTCTTATGATTGCAATGCACATAGCAATAACCTTCAGGAAACTTGGGAGGAAAAAAAAGTTTGTTACAAGTCCTGGAAAGTACAAGGTTGATTGCTCCATCTCTCATTGAACACCTGGGACCATACAGAGAGTTGGCAGGTGAGGAAGGGGGGTGGTGGTGGTAGCATGGGGTGTCTGCTTTTATTGGGGTGGAGGGTGGGGGCCGAGTGTTTTGCAGACTCACTCTATTGGTAAATTTAAATTTAAAAGCCCCGCCCCAACCTGGTTCTTTATCTAGTTGTGTAGCTGGCAATGCCTTTATTTGAGATAGCCATCTTTGAGGTGGATGCCTCTTTGAAGTGGATGCCTCATCAATCAAAGCTTAAGTCAGGCACTGGCGTTATGAAAAAGAAGAAACCAATTATCAGGGCTATCTGTGCAACTCATCCTTGATGCTGAGGCATCAGAGTCAATGATAACATTAACTGCCTGGGAGCTGATATGCTAAAAATCAGGGGCAGGGCACCTTGCAACCCAGAAAGTATACACCTAAATAGGATTATAGTAGCACTCCTATAATGATTATACAAGCAATAGCCTAAAATCCAGTCCATAGCCATTGTCCCAAGTCTATGGGCCCCAAGTCAAGTGATCTAGGGGCCTTAGGAATGTGTTCAAAGGTTTTGGTAATATTGTGAAATATTTTAACATCTTGGGCCATCTGGTGGAAGTGGGTTTGAACCTGTCCTGAGTCGGTAGATTGCTCCATATCTCATTGAACCAGTCTCAGTTCTGAGAATAGGTCAGTTCAGTTTAAAGGCTGTGTCTCATTTCAGGAGGCGATGATGCAAGTGGGCTCCCAATGGTTTAAGTATTTGCATCAAGTTATTTAACAAGAGGCATTTCTATGGAAACAAAAGACGAACAGTGGTTCGTGGTTGGAGCAGGCTATAAACCCAGTCTGAGTCCTGAGGGTGGTCAGTGGAGATGATTTCTGGACGTGAGGCTTGAAACATCTTCAGAAGGAGTGAGGGCAGGCAGTGGCAGTCTAACAGATTTCCTAGTGTGCGCTTGAATGTCTCTGGTGATGGTTCTTAATGGCCCACAAAATAACAGGCACAAGGTGCTGCAGTGGTGCTTGCTCTGAAGTTTGTATCAAGTTGTCCCACTCTAGAGTGCATGGCTTCAGGAAAAGGGCAGTTTTAGTTTTCAGTGATTCCAAGTCAGAAGGGTGGGAGAGAAATTGGAAACATTAGTTTGGAGGGATGTAGCCAGATATTGGAGGAAACAAGAAGAATTCAGTGTGCAGTCTGGTTTATAGGTGGAAAACCTCAAAGACTACAATTGGATATACACAAGGGTGTTCCATAGTTTTCTACTGAAACATAATTTTTCTCTCTACAGTCACCCCCACTTTTATCAGAGATAATCAAAGTAAGACTAATTTGTTTGCAAAATAAGTCTTGTTTCATTAAACTTGGCCTGATTATTTATATAAGTGCAGAAAGAACAGTGATTGACCAAAAAGGCTCTTTTAAGTGTGATTTGCTCGACCTTTTCATAAGGAGTCTTAGCTTGTGTTCTTTAAAGTCTCCCAAGGTTAGGAAGCCAAGCCAAGGACTTGCCATCAGACTTTACTTACAATACCTGTAGATTTTGGCCAATTCCTCTCTTCTTGAGGTCCCTAAAATATGAAGTTTCTGGACCTGCCAAGAAGTGATCTTCCTTACTCTCCTGGTAAGGCTGCTGGGAACTCAGTCAGCAAGGTACCAGGCTAATTTTTCCAAGGGGCTTATAAGGTCAACCTTGGTTCCAAGTCTGTCTGTTATATCTGGCTCTACGGACATCTGACTCAAATATGCCATTCCAGTTAAAGCCTTGGTAATCAGCGTTTCCAATTGTGTCCTGTCATGAGGGAGGCAGATTCTGATTGAACTTAAGCGAGCAGCTATACTGCCAAGAAGATAAGAACACCGACGTTCTGAATTCTGGAGGGATCAGGAAGGGAGAAAAATGGTTTCATCTTTGTCCACAGGGATATACTTTATCAAATTGCTGTAAGTCATAGATAGCTTAAGAAAAAAAAGGTTTCCTTAAGTCTGGAAAACATACAACATGAAAGAACCAACAATGTTTCAAATAGAAAGTCATAAAAATTATGATCATCCTCATCGGTTCATTTGCTTTCCTTTAATTCTTGTTGATATTTTGTTAGCAGTTCTATGAATCCCCCTTTACTTTAAGGGTTCTGTCAGTTCTTACCAGTGCAGTGGTATGGTCTGAAGGTTGTCACAACCCTCTCCTAGAGTGCTTTCCACAAGTCTCCTTGAAGATGAAGCGCTCATGCAGAAACACTTGAAAAAGTGTCAGATGAAAACAATAAATGTCTATAAATGACATTAATTTTTAGTGTAGCACAAGACATTTACTGTCAGATCCAAATATATTTAGTTTCTCTGTAATAAACCAAAAGTAGATAAACCTTTATTCAATAATTAATGTATTATTTTATATTATTTGGCAATGATCTTTATATTCAGCGAGTTTCTATCATTTAACTTCAACTTAGCAAAACTAAGGTTTCAAGTTACCAGAAAGATTTGAGTTACTATTTTTTTTTTTAATCCTCACCTGAGGCTACTTTTCCATTTATCTTCAGATAGAGTGAGAGGGAGGGGGTTGGGAGGAGGGAAAGAGAGAGAAAAATCGATATGAGAGAGACACATCGATTGGTTGTCTCCTGCACAACTGCAGCCAGGGCCGGGGACCGAACTGCAACTGAGGTACGTGCCCTTGACTGGAGTGTCCACGGGCCGACACTCTACTGCTGAGCCAAACTGGCCAGGGCTGGGTGACTATTTTTAAGAGGATATACCATGAAACATAATTGTGAGAAAGTGGATGCCTGGCAATCAAAGCTGCAGCCAGGCCCTTGCATTCCAAAAATAAAAGCCCTCGGTCAGGGACTACTCTACGGTGGTCTGCCGCCCGACCACAGATCTGACCTTCTGCTTGGAAAAAATTGTTTTCCCATAACCCAATGGATTTTTCTTCATTTTTACACTTTTATTTACTTATGTTGCAATGCCACTCATAGGTACTGGCCCATATTTCAATGTAGCCTGTCGACTAATGGGCTAATTTGTTATCCTTTTCCTTATTTTTGTGATTTAAACCTGGACTAGCTACTGTATCATAAAATGAGGACCCATCTGTCCTGCTATCAGTTCTTGTGGTATTAAATCCAGTGTTTAAACTTGTTGAAAATGGAAGTCTTTGATTATGTTGAACTCGGTTTAAAATTATTCAAATGAGAAGAATTGTTTCATAACTCAGAGCAGGTGGATCTTATCTATTTTGTTTTGATAGTGTTGCTGTGTATAGTGCATTAGTCATCTTAGAAGCTCAAATACTGATTAAAGAAAATGGTTGCAACACAATATTTGCATACCATTTTAAACTTCTTTTTGGAGTCCCTGGTACCTAGCACAGTCTGTGGCAGTATGTGTCTGGAATGTTCTCATTGACTCTTCATATCCCATAGGGAAAGCAGCATGGTGTAGTAGTTAAGAATGTGTACTTAGGAGCAGATTGTCAGAGGTCCATTCTGGGCCCTGCCACTCACTCTCCAGCCTTGGGAAAGTTTCTTAACCTCTCTGTGTCTCGGTTTCTTTTCTGAGGACACAGTGATACATGCCAGGTAGAAGTATTGTGAGGATATATGTAAATTACTTAGGATGGCATCAGGTACACTATTGATTTTGGTTAATATCATTCTATTTTCATAGATTGGGGAGGAGGAAGTTATCCCAAGGACTGTAAGTAAAAAAAGTGTTCCAGTTTGGGTATATAATGCCTGCCGTTTATTGAAAGCTTATTGTGCCAGCTGCTGTGTTAAGGCTTCTTCCTGTGTTGACTGGAAACAGCTCCAGGCCTTATTCTGGGAATGTGATTAGTAATTTGGCAATTTGTTATTGCATGATGGTGGCATATCCACATTGGCTATTCTACTCTTAACTGACTTTTGTCATTGACTAATCCTTTTGCATTGGATGTGACTATGGGCTTGCAGTAGCATAGTGATGTGATGTGTCTGCTTAAAGACACACCTGCATTTGGCACTTTCGGTGTTAAGGATAGGAGTGTAGAGAGGGCAAAATAACCCCTCAAAACAGCAAAACACACCATTTAAAAAAATGTATTTATTGATTTTTTTTTTTTTTTTTATCCTCACCCGAGGATATTTTTTCTTTTTTGTACAGATAGAGTGGGAGGGAGAGAGAGGAAGGGAGAGAGAGAGAAACATCGACGTGAAGGGACACATCGAGTGGCTGCCACCCGCACGACCAACCAGGGCCGGGGACAAACTACAACCGAGGTACGTGCCCTTAGCGGGAACCGAACCCGGGTCTCTCCGGACCGCAGGCCGACGCTCTAACCGCTGAGCCAAACTGGCCAGGGCGTATTTATTGATTTTTTAGAGAGGGAGGAAGGGAGAGAGAGAGAGAAACATCGATGTGAGAGAGAAACATCGATTGGCTGCCTCTTGCACGCCCCTTACTGGGGATGGAGCCTGCAACCCAGTCATGTGCCCTGACCTCTCAGTCCATGCGAGGACGTTCCATCCACTGAACCATACCGGCTGGATAAAGCACACCATTCTAATGGCATGATGCAGGGCAGGAAGCATTGTTTACATTGGGTCAAAGATAGGTTAGTATGCATATATAGTGTTCATTCACTTATGGAGTGCCTACTTAAGTATTTGAGACTCTGCTGGTCTGTAAGCTATTTGAGAACAGTGGCTGTATTATTAAAAACAATTTGTGCATATAATGCCCAACATTTATTGAGAGCTGACTGTGTGCCAGCAACTGTGCTAAGTCCTTTACATACATCTTATTTTAGTTTTAGAACAGCTGAATTAGTAAGATAACCCACTTTGCAGTAATTTGCCATTGGTCACAAAGCTTGTAAATGATGGAATCAGGATGCAATTAGGTTGCTTATGCCAGTGCAACAAACGAGAATATAAAAGATATTAAATAAGTGTTTACCAAATAAGAGAACAAATGGGATATGAGATTAACCAAGACACAATCCCTGTCCTCAAGAACATAGAAGTGAGAAGAGTAAAGCAGTGATTAAGACACAGGGCTGAAAGATGCTGGAGGGGAGTCCACAGGAGAGGCACCCTTCCTTGAGCAGGTGGAGGTTGAGCCAAAGGCTGGAGGATGAATTGGAATTGGCCAAATGAGGATGTGGAATGCATTCCAGGACGAGGAAAGAGAAAACACAGTTTGATATATGTAGATAGAAGATGTGAGAGCGGCAAGGCCTAAAGTGTCAGAGTTAGGATCCAAATAATTTGGGTATAAAACTGAGCAACTTAAACTTTATTTTGGAAGCTCTTGTGGGAAAGGGAGATCTTGGTAGGTGTAAACTGAATAGTTTCATGGTTAGATATGTGTTTTGGGAAAATTAATCTGGCCAGTAGTGTGACAATAGAATACAGGGAGGCAGACGGGAGACTTAGACCGTTCGGGCCACTCTACTAATTGAGGAGCCTAGATGAAGGCCTTTGGGTTGAAGAGGAGGGGATGGGTTTTTTGAGATAACGAGGAGGTCTTGGTGACTGAAGATGGATGGGAAGTGTGGTGAAAGGGTGACCCTAAGTTTTGGTTTAGGCAGATTGCTGTTCTTTACTAAGATAGCAAATGCAGGAGAGGAGCTGGTTGGGGATGTGTTGAGCTTGGGGTGGCTGGAGGGTCTGTGGCTCAGTGGCAAAGGCTGGGGAGGTTCTAGGTGTGAGGGAGATAGATATGGGCACCACCAAAATGTCAGAAGTAGTTGTACATGAGAGTGTAAGGCATAGTGCTGTGTCCTCTAAAAGTCAAGTATCTTGCCCTTGTCATGCACCTGGCAAGGTGTCAGTGGCTTGAACCTAGGGTTTAATCTGCCTTCCAAGCCTAGTGATGTGCCAGTGTGTCATGATAAAACCTATTTTCTTTCTTCCCCTTGATTATGTTGCTCACCGAAGTATACATTATTGCTCACTTACTGGTTTTGTGATTTCTTTGTCTAAGCAGTCATCAGCCACAGTTTAGGTGTGGTCAGATGTTGGTCCCTGCACCTTCCACCTCTGTCCTCCCATGCATTCTGATGCCAGTCTTGTGTGAGGTTTCCTTAGTGCGGCCTATACTGGGGAATCATTCTTAACAGAAACAGAGAGCACTTACAAATCTCTAACAAGGAAGAGGAGAGGAGTGTTTCCTTTCAGCATTGCGGCTTGTAACATTTTCCTGCAAGATGTTGAGGGTGAAATTACCTGAGCTTCATCCTTCCCATCCTGGCCCTTAGGTACTATGGTTGACAAGTGGTCTTAAGATAGAGAACCAAAGTTTCATTTCTTTTATTTTTTTATCCTCACCCAAGGACATTTTTTGATATTTTGTTCAGATAGAGTGGGAGGGGGAGAGAGAGAGAGAAACATCGACATGGAAGGGACACATCCAGTGGCTGCCACCCACATGACCCAACCAGGGCCAGGGACAAACTGCAACCAAGGTACGTGCCCTTAGCGGAACCGAACCCGGGTCTCTCTGGACACTCTAACTACCGAGCCAAACCGGCCAGGGCTCATTTCTTTTAAAAAACACCCTCTGAGTCAAGGCCCTCAAGATAAATTTGTAATCATGAGGTTCATCAATAGACTTAGCAAGCTTACCTCCCAGCCAACTCTCATCTCAGAACAGAAACTTGCTTGTACGGAACCTGTGTTTTAGCTATTGGACAAACAATAGCCCCATTTGCCCAGTGATTGGTAGAACAGATATAAGCAAAAAAATAACCTGGGAAATGACTTTCCACAGCTCGGCTTTGCCTAAGAGCTGGCTAAATATGGGTGTGCTAGGTGGAGTGTACTATGAAAATGTATTCATGATTGGATTTGTTTTGTTCATACTTTTGAAACTTTTTTTTTTAGGCAACCTCCCGGCTTTTAATAAATTACCCAGAACCCTATCGTTCTCAAATATTGGATTATCTCTTTAAGGTAATGGAAAATAATTATTTAATGCTAGCTGCGATATTTTATAAACTCTGGTGAAATCCACTCATGGATTTGATCACCTTCACAATTCTAGTTTTTTAAAAAATAATGACAAATTACTTTTGGGATAAGTTGCTATTTATTTGAAGTTTTGCTTTGGTTTTTCTCATTTGTAACATCAAAGGCAAGCAATTGAAGTGTTTCGTCCTTCATACAATGAGTCACAGGTTAATACTGTCACTTCTTTCTCCAGCCAAACTTCGGTGCCTCTTTGCATATTCTAAAAGTCGAAATAGGTGGTGATGGGCAGACAACAGGTAGGAATATCTGGGGAATGGGACCCACCCCCCTCAGCATTTGAATCTATACTTAAATTTATGGATTGTGATTTCAAAATATAAATAATACTGACTTTTTTTGATATTAATTATTGCTTAGTAGATTTGTTCCTTAAGGTCCTTTTCCCCTCTAGTTATTTTTTAAAAATTGTATCAAAAGATGCATTTTTTCCCCTATCAAAAACAATAGTTGGACTTTAGATTTATTGTTTATTTAGTTGAAGTAATTAGTAGTAAATCCACAGTTTTTTAAGAGCTATACTCACTAGATAGAGCATGGGGGCAGTTTGGAATTGTATTGAAAAGTTTAAAAATAAACTTTTAATATTGTGTAAAAGATGTAAGGTGTTATTGGTTTTAAATAAAATTGGTGAAAATATAAGTACTCAGTTTTTCACATATATAACTCTTTTTTTTCTTTTCAAATAAAGTTATTATTATTATTTTTTTTTATCCTCACCCGAGGACATTTTTCCATTTTTTTGTTCAGATAGAGCGGGAGGGAGAGAGAGGAAGAGAGAGAGAGAGAAACATCGATGTGAAAGGGACACATCGAGTGGCTGCCACCCACACGACCAACCAGGGCCGGGGACAAACTGCAACCGAGATACGTGCCCTTAGCGGGAACCGAACCCGGGTCTCTCAATACCGCAGGCCGACGCTCCAACCGCTGCGCCAAACCGGCCAGGGCTCAAATAAAATTATTTTTAACGACCAAATCTTCAGTCTTTATTGTGACCATTTTGGTTGACTTTGTGTAGTACATGTAGTCAATTAAAAGTTTATGGGCCAGCCCTGGCCCATTTGGCTCAGCAGTTAGAGTGTCAGCCCTCAGACCAATGAGTCGTGGGTTTGATTTCACTCAAGGGCACGTACCTCCATTGCAGTTCGTCCTGACCCTGATTAGGGTCCTGTGGGACACAACCAGTTGATGTGTCCCTCTCACGTCGTTGTTTCTCTCTCTCTCTCCCCCTCTCCCTCCCTCCCTCCCTCTCTCCCTTCCACTCTATCTGAAGATAAATAGAAAAATATCCTTGGGTGAGGATTAAAAAAAAAAGTTTATGGGCCAGTAGTTTCCAGGAAGAAGGAAAAAGGGAAGAAAATGAATTTAATTATCTCAATTATTATATATAGCTCATTATTTATAGGTCAGATTCCACTGTAGTGAGCTCTAGACTATTGTCTGTGTACTTACGTTCCTGTTAGTGATCTGAAAGTAATTTTGTTTTTTAAATCCTTACCTGAGGATATTTCTCCATTTATCTTCAGATAGGGTGGGAGGGAGAGAGGGAGGAAGAGAGAGAGAGAGAGAGAAACATCAATGTGAGAGGGACACATTGACTGGTTGCCTCCTGCACGACCCCGACCAGGGCTGGGGACGAACTGCAACCGAGGCACGTGTCTTTGACTGGAATCGAACCTGATACTTTTTGGTCCTGGGATGACATTCCAACTGCTGAGCCAAACTGTTTAGGGCTGACAGTAGTTTTGTTAAACAGATATGTCTGTAGTGGTATTTGTGTTTAATTTATGTTGAAAGGAACAGAGTGTGAGAGTTGGTGTCAGGAGCCCAGGGATTCACATCCACGATTGAGAAGCTGGACACTGAGGTGATGTGAACTTGAGGTTGGAAATGGGGCTTTGAAAACCCCAGAGGCCAAAAGCCCAGCAGAATGTAGTTCTAGGAATTTGCAGTTACATGAGGTGGCAACCCTTCTTTCAACACTGCTTATAATAGAAAGTTGTAGTTTTATAACCGAAGATGCTCACAATGCTTAGGATAATGAAAACAGATGAAATACTATGCTTGGATCATCTAGCCACAAGTTATATAAGATTTTTCTTTTTTTGACTCCCCTCCCAGTATCCCAAGTGCTTGTCAAATGGTACTTGCTCTTTATTTTTATTAATTAATTCATTTTTGTTACAGATGTTTCTCCCTTTTCCCCCATTAACACCCTCCCTCCCACTCCCGTTCCCCCCCTCACAGTATTATTATCTATGTCCATTGGTTGTGCATATATTGTTGTTTGGTGTATCTTTTCCTGGCTTATACCCCCCCCCCCATTTACCCCACTTCAGGACTGGAATTGCAATACTACTTCTGTGAAGCGTGTGTGTCTGTGTGTGTCTGTGTGTCTGTGTGTCTTGGGCCAGTGGCACCACGATGCACCACTGATGGACTTGCCTTTCCCTTGGCTCTCTCCCACTCAGATGGCACCGAGCCCTCCCACATGCACTATGCATTAGATGAGAATTACTTCCGAGGATACGAGTGGTGGTTAATGAAGGAAGCTAAGATGCGGAACCCTAATATCACACTGATGGGTAAGAAGTGAAGTTGGCCATACTTTTGCAGTAGGTTTTCCTTTAACTTTCAAATTCTGAACAAAGGCTCTATTAATGCTGAAGTACTAATAATGTAATTAATACTACCAGTAGCAAAGCATGTGCCAGGCACGGTCCTTTCTTTGCCCTTATATATTATTGTTTATCTTTATAATAATTCTGGAGTAAGGCATTATTATTCCCATTTTACAGAAGAAGCAGTAGAGGCTTAGAGAGGTTATGCCACTGACTTAAGATCAGATAATTATTAAGTGGCAAAATTAGATTTAGAAACTGTTCCATTCTGGTGGGTTTTTTTTTAATGCTAAGCTACTTCAACAAAATTTGTCAAAGGGCAGTGTTACTTATAAAATTATTTATTACATGCAGCAGTACATTCCAACTGTTTGCAAAATTGTATATTACATGTAGTAGCAGTAGACCCCATTTCTAGAAGTGGCACATATTAAAGGTTTCTTGTTTGTGTGCTTTGAATCTCAGTGATGTGGTGGTCCCTGTTCCAGGCATTGGAAATGCCGAACAATCCAGCCCCCAACTCCTGCCCTTGTGGAGCTTGGCTTCTAGTGGCAGGATCATTGGATGATTCTCACATGGGGCTATTGTCATTTCACAGTTCTCTTGTAGCAGTGTACACACTTGTAAAATATTTCAAACATACACAGTGGTGGCATACTTTCATCATTTGAAATTAATTTGATTTTTTTGCAACAGGCTAGTACATTCAGGCTAAGTTCAGTGAGATTAATGAGATGTATTTCATAGACTTGATTTCAAGTGATTTTAAAAATGACTTTCAACAATTAAAGGACAAGTATACATTTTTCTAAATTCAAAAAATGAGGAGTCAGTGTGTTTTTTTTGTAAATGGACTTTTGTAAGCAATTCCAGAAATGTTTGGAGCAGTAAAAAGCACCATTGACTTTAGTACTTATTTACCCATTGGGTTGCTTTCAAGGTCAGTGCTCATTTAAATGCAGAAAATCTGGCATGCTGAATCTAAGAGAGAATTACACATGGTGGGCTTGCAGAATGTATTTGGCATTTCCTTGTTTTAGAATGCTCCTTTATTTTAATGTCACATTCTTATGTAAATACTCTTAGGCATTCCTCTGGAGTTTAGAAAAATAAAGTTTGTCATTTTGATTTTGAATTTTCAGTGGTGAACTAGATTGGTAACATAAACAGTTAAGGAACTTAACTTTGAGTTTATTTTAATATATTGGTGACAGAATTAGGATGTACAATTGTAGTTAGAGCTTCTCTACTCTTATTTTTTTACTTAATAATTAGTGTATTGGAACAATGTGGATTATTTAATCTACATAATTTAACAAAGGTATATTTTCCCAATGGAGTCATTGGCATTTATATTGATATAAGGACAAAATAGTTTTATTTGATTACCTTATTTATATTTTAAGTAGCGTTGGTAATGAATGAGGAATTTGTATTATACTTACCTCATAGGAGTAGTTAAGCATAACCTTTCAGTACTCTTTGATTTGAACTCAGAGAACATAAATTGGTTATTGAACATACCCTATATTAGGTGATAAGAAGTTAAGTATAACAATTGTTAAGTATAACAATTTAAGGTTATATTTCTTTCTGTTGGTAAGTATCTTTGTGAGAGGGTTTTTTTTTTTTTGTTGCTGTTTTTTTTATTTTATTTCTTTTTCTTGAAAGAGCATTGAGAGTTATTGAATCTGACTCTAGGGCTCTGTAAGGAATTATAGCATCCATAGACTGGAAGGGATTTTGAGAATTTGTGCATGAAATATAGTCTTTCCTTTAGCCAGATCTGTGTTGCTTTGCTTGTGTTCCGTTTATTTTCTTTGTTTTCCACAGTACCAGCATTGTTATACCCACTCTCCCTCTCCGCAGGGTTGCCATGGTCATTCCCTGGATGGCTGGGGAAACATTTCAACTGGCCTTATGTAAATGTTCAGCTGACTGCCTACTATGTCATGTCATGGATTGTGGGTGCCAAGCGTTATCATGATTTGGACATTGATTATATTGGGGTTAGTAATGTATTTAAAACATGTTTACCTTTTGGACATCTATTTGTAGTTTTGTTAAAGTGGCACGTTGTTGACTAACCATTTTGTGTCATGAGACTAATTTGTTCTGTTGGTACCTGACAATAAAATAAATTAATTCCATGTAACCCTTTAATTCCTCCTCTTTGCCTATCCATATTCTTTCCACTTCTGAAAAATATATTAAGTATTTACCTTTTCTGAACTATTTTTTTTAATGTTTGTTTTTGGTATCACCCCAGCTCAAATTCTCCTTCTTCAAAGCTTTCCCTAGTTTCTCTAGTTCTTAAAACATAGTATGTTTACTATACTGTTTAATGATTAATCTCATTTTTCTCTATGAGTCTTCTGTTGTTCTAAACCAGGGGGTGGAAAACATCCTTGAAGGACCAAAGAGTAAATATTTTAGGTTTTGTGGGTCACAAGGTATGATTAAGGATATTATGTAGGTAATTACATAACCATTTAAAACACATCCATTAAAAACTGGGAAAAGCATCTTTTGTCCTCAGGTTATAAAAATACAAGCCGTGTGGCAGATTGGCAGGCTGGCCGAAATCTGCCTACCATCGGCCTAAACTGTTATTTAAGGATTTAAAATGTGTAACACACGTATGTTGTCTTTCCAGTTGGTCTGCTGACAGGCTGGAGGCATGCCTCCGACTGCCTGTACCCTCCAGAGCCTCACACACACACAGTGGGTCTCCAAACCCTTTTGTTTATTAATATACCATCTGTCAAAACTGACCTGAACGTTTTCACACCATCAGCCAGCAATTATTGAGCTCCTGCTGAGTTGCAGGTACTGTGACTCTTATGTTCAGGGACACCAGGATTTGTAAGCTCTTGAGTTTGAGAGAGGAGCAGACACTGGCAGGTAAACGAGGGTGAGCCAAGGGCTGTCAGCCAGAAACGAGCACACTTGTTTTTAAACCCCTTCTCTAAAGTATAACTGAAAATCAGTTTGTATTTGAGAACTTTCTTAAATGTTAAGGTATTTTTAACCTACAATGAGACTAAATGTAGGTTTGGGCCTATTATTGTAAAGTCACACTTAGAAACTCTTTTCTGGTAAATAATGGGTGATTCACATCTTTTTTAGACTCTTAATAATCACATGCTATGGTGAGGAGCTTCTTTGATAAGAAACTCTTTCCTGTATCACTGGAGGGACTGAAAAGAGTTATAGCACCTGGACTCCAGGCCCATCTGGACTATTGATGGTTTTTCTCAACTGCAAAATGGAAGTCATGGAGGTTCTCTTTCAGCTCTAAATCCCCATACTTCTTGATCCTGAACCTAAGGGATTTGTGTATGTTCCTTATTAAGAGTTTGCTTTTGTGATGTAGCACATTGTTGTGATTCTCTGTGTGTGCCAAAAAGTTACTCCTGTACAGTGTACTTGCAGTAGTTGGCTTTCTGGTGTGCCTGTAGGGATCCTGTAGGAACTGTTGCAGCCACCCTCTGCCTGTGGTCTCCAGTGCCAGTGTAGTTCCTGCACATAGCACATTGTCAGAATTAATAGAAAAATTCAATGAACATTTCATTTTTGGAAATCTCTGGAATAAATAGTTTTTGAAGATACCAACAGATATTTTAAGCTTTTTAAAAATAGTATTTTAATTTAATTAAAATTTTTTTTCTTTATTAATTTTAGAGGGAGAGAAAGGGAGAGAGGGAGAGATAGAAACATCGATGAGAGAGAACTTCGATTGGCTGTCCCCCCACTCGGGATTGGGCCTACTACCTGGGAATGTGCCCTGACCAGGAATTGAACTGGCATCTCTTGGTGCATGGGTTGACGCTCAACCACTGAGCCACACTGGCTGGGCAGTATTTTAATTTTAAAATTTATGTTGTCTTATAAATATCAATACATTCTATAACAGGCCATCCCATTAAGTAAATTAAATGCCTTTTCAGGTGATATGAAAGATGATGAGAGAAATGGCATTTCATGATAATGTCTGTTTTCTGACACTTAAAATCTTTTAGTTCACACTTTTGACTTTTTGTTTTACAGATTTGGAATGAGAGGTCATTTGACATTAATTATATCAAGGTCTGTACAACTTAAAAATCTTTTCATCTTTAAGTTATTAGTGAATAATTCTTTTGTGGTTCTATGGAAATTAGTAGTAAAAACTATGTATATTTTTACAGCACAGTTATTGGTTTTGATAGTTGTGACACAATTTAGAGCAAAACCTTAATAATATTTATATTCCTGATTAAAGTATATGTAATTCCCTGTAAGCCCCAAATTTTATTTTATATATATTTTTACAATTACAAGTCTGTTCCAGTTCCTTTGTATTCTAATTCAACTTACCTGGTTTGAAAAACTGCTGTTTTAAACAGTTTAAACCATTTCTTTTTCTCTCAACCTTTAGTTTACCTGCAGTAAAACATCTCAGGATATAAAAACTTTTAGTGTGTAATTGACATTTTGTAGCAAGATTTTATTGGAATCTGTGTCCTGTTTGTTAAAATGCCCACTTAAAGAGTGCAGTAATGGCAGATGAATGTAGGTACTCAGGTTTGATAAGCTTTATGAATATATATTCCGTACAGTGTAGTAAGATGGCCCCTGGAGATAGCATGTATTTGTTTCTAAGAGGAGAAATTAATATAATATAATCAAGTGATTTATATAAAGATGGCAGGGCTCTTATTTATTTTATTTTTGCTATTTACATTGTATTTAAGATTTACCTTGGGTTTTCAGTAATGTGGTTTTAAAATTATGTCTAGAAAATCCCATCTGGGGTCTGAGGGTGGTGGTTGGAAAGGGATGTGTGTATCTCTGGACAGGACTGGGCACCAGAGTAGGCTCTTGGTTCTTTGTCGATTTATTTCCTGTTAGAATTTAGCCTGTTGCTTTTAATTTCCCTGGGTGGATAGTTCTGCAGGTAGATTTTTATTGCCTTTCCTGTCTACACATGTGAAAGACTTGAGGATAGCAATGGAAAATTTCTTCTTATTATTTCTAGTATGTTACAAAATATTGAGAACTGTAATATTTTCAGTAATAGAATATTTAAAGACACTGGAAAATACTAAAAATAAAATTTTAGTTGAAAACATTTTACCAAATGGTATATTTAATATGACCCCAATTTTATTTTGTGTCTGCCTAAGAAATTTCCTAATAAACAATAAACTTCAAAACAATAGTGGTTATTTCTGGGTAGTACTATTATGATTTTTTTCTTTTTAACTTCCATCTTCCCACCCAAATATTTTGATGGTTAAACATAATTTTGAAGGCAGAGGGAAAATCCCTCTAAGGCATCTTAACCTCATAGGTTTGTTGATTTTCTGTTTACATTCCCATGAAGTGGGTTATCTGGATAATAATGTTTTTATTTTCCACAGGAGGCATGCTTCTACTGAGAAATAATATTGACACTATTGTCTAGGATGCTGATTTTTGAAGATACTTTAGCTACCTTGGTGGTAATTCAACAGCTGAAACTCATTTGTCACCTTTCCTATGTCCTGTTTATCCTCCAAAAGGTTTTAAGAAGAATGCTGAACTACCAAGGTCTCCAGCGAGTGAAAATCATAGCGAGCGATAACCTCTGGGAACCCATTTCTGCCTCCATGTTGCTGGACCCTGAGCTCTTGAAGGTGGTCGATGTTGTAGGGTAAGGAATGTCTTACTTTAACACTGGGCTTCCCGCTGCTTGCTCTGAATGTTGACTGAGCCCTCCTTTTTGTGTTTTCCTCCCGATTGGATTACGTTTTCAGAAAGTAGCTTTCTTGTATTTACTTAGTGAAAGCTTGTATGACTGATATTTCATTCCTTTTTCTTTGACATGTATGAATTTGGGGATTTTCTATGACAATGAAAGGTATTAGTAATTTTTAAAAAATGTGTTAATGTTTGCAGTAATAAAACATGGCTTTGTTTAGATTAAGGGGCAGAATAGTATTTAAGTTTTAGAAGTTATAGAAAGCAATGTTGTGAAATTAATTCCTAATTCTCAGACTTCCTGTGGGTGGGAGGTGTGACCACTGACCGTGACTTTTGTTATGTGTCCTTAGCAGTATGGCTTTGACCCTGCTCCAGTCCACTTTTCAGCCTTCTGGGCCTTGCCCTCACTGTGTTCCAGCAGTATTTTTTTCCCCTTCCTTATTTATTTTATTTTTTCTAGTTTGAGAAATAATTGTCAAATATCACTGTGTAAGTTTAAACTAAACAGCGTGATGGTTTGATTTACATATGTTGTGAGATGATTACCACCATAGGTTTAGTTAGCATCTGTCATCTCATATGGATACAATAAGAAGAAAATAAAAAATAATTCCTGTTACAAGAGCTCTTAGGATCCTGCTCTCTTAACAGTTTTCCTAGATATTGCGTGGCAACGTTATCTAGTCACTGTGTTGTGCATTGCATCCCTAGTACCTATTTATCTTATAACTGGAATTTTACCTCCGACCACCTTCCTCCAATTCCACTCCCACCCTTACCAGCAATGTTTTAAAAAGTGAATTTTAATTTTATCTATCATGACAATGTATATAAACATTTGAAAAATAGAATACATGTATGTGTGGAATTTGTTCTTTATTCACTGTGAAGACTCTGCTTGCTAATGGTTTTTTAAAATGAAGAATTTTGAATGTACACAAATATAAGCAGAATAATATAATGAATATTCATGTTCCTATTACTCAGCCTCCACAAAGATGAACCCATGGCCTTATCATGCTGTGAAGTGACAGAGATGTTTTGCCTAATTTTATACACTTAGACAATTCTTAAAGAACTGGATACTGAAAGAGACCCAGATATAGTATTAGTTCTGTCCTTCTTTAATCAGATCATTTAATCACTTAGCTTTTAAATGTAATATAACAGTTCTATTGTTTTCTGAATGAGGGATATAACACCTATTTCTATAATTTTAAAGGAGATACTTTTTCAGATTATAAAAATAATGTATACTCATTATAGAAAATTTGGAAAATGAGAAAATTATAGAGTTATAATTACTCATAATCCTAATATCTACAAATTATTGGTAACATAATAATGTACTATTTTCTAGTCTTGCTGTTTTTTTTATACAAGTGTATTTTAACCAGAGATATACCCAACTTACATTTGGCTTTGGCTGAGGCATTGAGGCTGAATGTCATGATCACAGAATGAAGTTCTAGGATAGAAGAATAAATCGAAAATATAAAAAAAATATTAAAATTAATATTATTACAAATGTTAGTAGTCAGATTTTCCAAGTTGGCCATTATGGTGCCAAGACAATGATGTGTTAACCCTGTTAGATGCTGGCTTATTCTTGTGGTCTCTCTAGTGTATATATGCCTGTTTTCAGCTGAAGTCAGTGACTCGACAGAATCTCAGTGGGACCGCACATTTTCCAAATATTTCTTTTTATATTTTCTATTATATATACTTTTTTCTCATGAAGTCATGAAATGCTAAATTGATGTTGTGCCCTAATCCATCTTTATTAGGTATAATGAATTCCCTAATAGGACCTTCTCTTAAAAGATTCATAACCTGAATGGAATTAAATAACTGCAACCTAAAACAGGACTTCATAATCATTCTTATAATGTAATGAATAGGGCTACACCAAACCACAAAGAGATAATCCAATCTTTAGTATCTGCTTGTGTTGTTATTAAATATTTTGTAAATAATTGTTGGCCTAAAAAGTATATACTCGTGTCCCTAAAGGTATTTAGCTAATGTGCTCTTTTATTATTGTATTAACTGTCAGTCTGTTTCCTATTTCACATTTGACGTTTCTTAGTTGTTTTTATTCAGTAATCAATAGTTTCCACAATCATCATCATGACAGTGGTTTGCTCTTGGAATCATAAATATACATTTATGCTTCATCTGAATGACTCCTCTCAAATGCTAGACTAGGGGAAGGGTTCATTTCTCCGGGGCAGGGTTTCTCATCAAATCAGAAAATATTTGATATTTTCACTGGATAATTCTTTGTGGTGGAGACTTGGCCTGGGCCTCGTGGGATGTTTAGCAGCATCTCTGGCCTCCATTCCCTAGATACCAGCAGCAAACCTGCCTTCTCTGCCAGGCAGAATCGCCCTGTGTGAGACACCGCTGCTCTGGGATTCTAACTTGTGGTTTTCCCAGGTGGTTTGCTCAAGAAGGAACTCTGTGTGGGTTTTTATTATTTTTTGTTTTTCTCCGGGAGTAACTGCCAAGCTGTCTTTCTCTGTCTCCTAGGGGTAGGAGAAAGGGAGGAAGTACTACTTTATGTAACAGACTCATTAATCTTCTTTGCGGCTTCCTTCTTACTCTTCCTTTCCCAGTGTCCCAAACCCTACGTCCCCTGGGAAGGCCGAGTCCCGTCTCTGCCTCATCCATCTCTTGGAGTGTTCTAGGCCGTGGCCTCCTGCTGCCTCTATCTAGCAGCAAGCTTGCAAACATTTCATGATTTCCAGAAACAGAAATTTCTCATCCGTCGATGATTTTCCTTCCCATTTTGTACATGGTTATAGGTTTATCTCATCTTAAGGGCATTCTGAGACACAGGATGGGAAGCAGATACTTAAAATCACTCTGACATCTGCCTGCAAGCTGCCCATTGTTTTAAAGTAGAACACGTTGGAGAAGACATATATTTTCAGTTACTCAACAAATGGATGTAATTGCCCCATCTTGACCTTTTCCCATTTCCTCCCACCCTTTCTTTTCTAGAGCTCACTACCCTGGTACCCATTCAGTCAAGGATGCAAGGTTGACAGGGAAGAAGCTTTGGGCGTCTGAAGATTTTAGCACTTTAAATAATGACGCGGGCGCCGGCTGCTGGGGTCGCATTTTGAATCAGAATTATGTCAATGGCTACATGACTTCGTAAGTTATTACAAACTTTTAAAGGTTTTTACCTTGAAAATTTTCTAAAACACAATAAATAGAAAAATGTACAATGGACTTCCATATTCTCACAACCTAGATTCAGTGATTGTAGACATTTTGCCTCATTAGCTTCATCTATACCTATATCTATACCTAAGCTACATTTATTTATTTTCCTATATTTGAATATAATCTGTATTGAATAAAGTCAGGTTTTTTGAGCTTTCTACATAGGAAAATTCATGCACTTCTATGATTTTTAACAAGGTGTATATGTTTGTGTGTGTGTATATAGACATTTAATGAATGATTATAAAGTAAAATTACAGGTGTCATGACATTTTACCCTAAATATACCATGTTGCTCCAAAAATAAGGATATTTTCTTGTATGATCTCAATATCATTTTGATATATAAGCGCATAAGAATATTTTAAAAAGCATTTCTAATACCCAGTCTCTATTCAGGTTTTCTTAATTGTCTTCAAAAGTGTTATTTATATATAACTTTTTTAAAAAATGTAATAGCCAGTGAAGCACCATGCATTGCATTTAGATGGCATGACCCTAAAATCTCTTTTAATCTGGAAATTTCTTTCCTTCCTTATTTTTCATGACAAGACTAGACAAGTGCTTGTGGACTAGACACCACTGTCGGGCATCTAGACACTGATTCCTGATAGTGCCACTTAATCTGTGTCACTGTTTCCGGAACAGAGGTTCTGGATAGAACACAACTCTTTTACTTCTCAGGGAAGCATTTTTTATCTTTGAGAAGCTTTCATTATAATTAGATTCAAATTAGCTTTCTAAAACAAAAATAAATAGAACAAAAGCAAGCCAATACATGCTTTTGTGATGTTAATGTGAGCTTATGCTATTCTAACAGCCTTCTTTGTTCTTTTTCTTCTCTTTTTGAAAGAAAAGATGCTTCTCATGCAGAGTTTGGGTCTAAGGATTTAATTTGGTATTGGGAGTCAAGCATGCTCAAGGCAGAGAATTTGGTAACTGCAGATAAATACAAAGTAGGAAATAAAATCACACAAGTTTTGCCATCCAGAAGTGACTATTCTTAAAAACACTGGGATATGTCTTCCCATTTACATTATATATATAAAATTTTAATACAAAATTGAGACTGTACTATATACAGTCAGGGAATAAGCTGCTTTTCACTTAACAAGGCATTATGAACTTTTCCTCATTTTAAAGTATAATTTGACTTCATCATTTTTAATGTTTACATCTGTTCTTTTACATAAAGCAGATTCCCACACTTGCCAGGTCTCTGGAAGCACCTGCTACACTTGCTTACACTGATTCTTTGGCAGCTGCCCTGACCTGCTGAACCTAAATCTCCAGGGAAGGCTCCTGGGACTCTGGTGGTTGTCAGTGCTCCACGCAATTCTGATATCACAAGGCTTTGGGAAACACTGATGTCGAAAATATATTCTACCTCACTGAATATTCTCCTCTCCCGATGAATGGAAGTTGTTTCTTTTTTAGTTAACAGCTCAGTACACCCTGAAATGATCAATTGTATACAGATATCTTTATAGACATCTATGATTATTTCCGCAGGGTGTGTTATTGGAAATGGAGTCAATGTCTGGGTCAGAGATATATAGATTTTCAAGGTATTTGTGTATATTTCAAAGTGCTCTCCAGATAGTTTAATTTATATTTTCTAGCTCTAGCCAGAGGAGATACCACCACCGTGTAAGCCATGGGTAAAATCGTGAGAGCTCTTAAAATTTTCACTGGTAGTAAGGTTTTTGAAAATTGGGACTATTATTTCTACTTGCATTGATAGAATTAGAAGACCTTGATTTTCTAAGAATGTCAGTCTGTCATTTTGTTATGGATGAGGACTTGATAAGAAAAATAAAATTCTGTGTGTAAGCCCTGGGTTTTTCTTTTTAGCTGTGAGGAACCCAGCAGTACCAGGGTCCAGAGTTTCCCTTTTGCCCTTGGATTTTCCTGAGAACCACTGAGTCACAGTCTTAGGGGTCAGCACCCCTGTGGCCATCTGAAAGAAGGGACCAAAATACAGACCAGCAAGCTGACCCAATTAGTATTCATAGATGAAGCAGAATCATAGCAGTGCCACAGCCCAGACCTGGTTCTGTCCTCTTCACATGAATTCGTACATCTAATTCTCACAGCAGTCTCACGAGCTAGGTGCAGTTCTTACCCTCATTTTACAGATGAGGAAACTGAGGTCCAGAGAGGTTAAGTGGTGGAATCATGATTTGAACCCAGGCAGTCAGAGTCTAAGAGTTCTCAATTTTAAAGCTTTGCAGCTACCCAGAGTCAAGTTCATAAAATTATATCATGAAACTGGGGCATTAAGAAGGCTGACTATCACAAGGAAAGCAGGTATGGATAAAGCCTTTATTTGTGTTTGACTCAAATTTGTGACATGTCTGGTACTGGTAGGGCATGATCCATGTTCTGTTTATACCACTGCACAGTAAAATTGTACATCTTCATGGGTCAGTTGATTGAACGTTGTCTCATGCACCAAGAGATTGCTGGTTTGATTCCTGGTCAGTGCACATGCCCAGGTTTTGGGCTCCATCCCTGGTAGGGAGCGTGCAGGAGGCAGCCGATTGATGTTTCTCATCAATGTTTCTGTCTCTCCCTCTCCTTCCTCTCTCTCTCTCTCTCTAAAATCAATAAAAAAATATTAGAAAATTGTACACCTTATATTCATTGGAATTTTTTTTTTCCATTTTTTGTTCAGATAGAGTGGGAGGGAGAGAGTGAGAGAGAGAAACATTGATATGAAAGGGACACATTGAGTGGCCGCCACCCACACAACCCAACCAGGGCCGGGAACAAACTGCAACCGAGGTATGTGCCCTCAGTGGGAACCGAACCCAGGTCTCTCTAGACCGCAGGCCGATGCTTCAACCACTGAGCCAAAGCAGCCAGGGCTTGGAATTTTTTATTATGTGATTCACCATTAATAATATTTAGATGCATCCAACAGTGGATATTGTGGAAAATGTATATGAACATTTTCATGTTTTGGGTGGTCATTTTTCATTATTTACCTATATTTATATAAATTATGTGTAGGTCTTTTTACTATGTAGGCTTCTAGACAGTTACATTTTTGTCACAAGCCGTTCTGTGTTTCTCCTTTATCAAACAAATCTCTCAGAACAATCGCTTGGAATTTGGTGGCCAGTTACTATGAACAGTTGCCATACGGACGCAGCGGCCTGATGACTGCTCAGGAGCCCTGGAGCGGGCACTATGTGGTAGAGTCTCCTGTCTGGGTATCAGGTACCTCCCATTCCACCTCTCGCTCCCTAGATTTTGTTCTAAGAGACAAAGCAGAAAATACTTAGAGGGGATTGTCCGGGAGGGCAGAAAATTCCCCCCAGTTTACAAGACAGATTATCAGGAGGAAAAAACAATCAAATTTAAGTTTGTTCATGTGGAGGCCTCACAGATGGGACCTAAGACGTGATCAGAACAGGCTGTTGATACACCTTGTAGACAAAGAGCGCATTTGGGAAGAACTGCCAAGACAACACAAATGCTTAATTAGTGAAGAAACGAAGCAGTTTCCGAACACAGCTTTCTCCGCTCTGACTTTCCAACCTCTGGCAGCAGGGTGCTGCCTGCCTCCTGGTGCAATTGGGGGAATAGAGAGGAGAATCAGAGTGTCCTTCTTGCACTGCTGTTTCTCAAGGAACTTTAATTAAAAATAACTGTTATGCTACTTTGGCTTTTTTCCTGGTTGATTAACTCCTTAGGTGCTGAAATTGGTGTTTTTGGATGTGGAGTCAGAACGTAGAGTGTTGCTCGGCACATTTTCAGGGTCAGCATTGGAGGTGCCCAATAAATATATATTGTGGAAATAAACTTGTTTGAAACCATAAAACTCAGTTTTTGAAATGCATTATTAACCTTTCAAACTTTATTTATTTTTTTATCCTCACCCGAGGACATTCTTCCATATTTTGTTCAGATAGAGTGGGAGGGAGAGAGAGAGAGAGAAACATCAATGTGAAAGGGACACATTGAGTGGCTGCCACCTGCACAACCCAACCAGGGCCCGGGACAAACTGCAACCAAGGTACATGCCCTTAGTGGGAACTGAACCCGGGTCTCTCTGGACCGCAGGCCAACGCTCTAACTGCTGAGCCAAACTGGCCAGGGCTAAACCTTATTTTTGTAGTTATATTAAGATGGGTCAAATAGAGGTGAACAGAGGTTGGGAAGGGATCATTTAATTTTACTCTTAGAAAAAAACAATGAATATTCTTGAAATGACAGAGTATGGTTCATTTATTTTTACTAGTCAGTCTAAGAATTTTCCCACAATTGTACCATTTAACTGGACTAATTATTCCAAAGTTGCAACATGGGAATTGGCAAGTATTTTCTTCCAAAATAAAAAATAGCTTGTTAGACTTAAGCAGACACAAATCAGCAGACAGATTTTTTGTTGTTTATAAGAATCCCTATTATTACCGTTTTTATCTTATTTGAGTCTTTCTCTGCTTTTCTGTAGCTCATACTACTCAGTTTACTCAACCAGGTTGGTATTACCTGAAGACAGTTGGCCATTTAGAGAGAGGAGGAAGCTACGTAGCTCTGACTGATGGCTTAGGTAACCTTACCATCATCATTGAAACCATGGTAAGTCTTTGTTGTTGTTGTTCTTTGTTGTTGTTTGGGGGTGGAGGGGTTAACTCACTTGTTTTTTTTTAGAGCAGCTTTTGAAGATTATACATATAATGAATAATACGTGGGGGAGGAAGAAAAATTTTTTTATACCCTTTTAGGTTCAGTAGCTGGGGCTCTACAAATTAAACTGACAAAGGACAGAATAGCCTGAGAAAACAGAATTTATTTGTGAATACAATGCATATATGTGTGAGAGCAACTCTGAATACCTCAAAGAGGTGGTTAGAATTTGGGTTTATATGCCTAGCTTAGTACCTAATAGAGGAAGGAGAAAGGGAACATTTGGGGAAATACACAACTTTTGGGAAAGATACATGGGTTTTTAGGAGAACAAACAGGAGATGAGAAAGTCTGTGATAGTGTTTGACTGTACTGGGTCTTGCCCTCTCCTTCAGGGCCATAAAACTCCCCTAGAGATTTGGGGTAGGTTTTTATTCCCATTCCTTCTTTCTGGGGGTAAATCCACACTGAAAAGGAATTTTATGGTAGCCTTATTTCCCAGAAGTTGATGCTTAGTTAAATAAGGGAAGCTCATAGAAGACTTTTTTCCCCCCGTATCTTTTGAGTCTCAAATATCTTCAACTTAAAGTAATCTTTATACCAAAGTGGCATATTTTGGGGTGGCATATTTCTGATCCCCTTCAAGCACATACTTAAAGTTTATAAGTTTTAACATGTATAAGCCCAATAAACCATCATCACAACCAAGATAGTGAACGTGTATCCATCACCCACCCAAGAGTTCTCATGTCCCTGTATAAATAATCCCTCTGTCCTGCTCCTTACCATACATTGTGATTTCCCTGGCCATTGCTTTATGTCACTAAGGAATTGTTTGCATTTTCTTCAGTCATGCAGTATACATTGTCCCTCGCCACTTCGCGCTTTGACTTTCACAGTTTCACTCTATCGCAGTTTTTTCAAACACTATACTATATAAACAAAAAATCCTACTTCATGCAAATTCATTTATAGCGGTAGAGTCTGGAACTGATTAATGACGATAAACGAGGGCTGACTGTATACTGTTTTTTGTCTTGCTGCTTTCACTCAGTATCCATGTTGTGTGATTCCTTTAATTGCTGAGTAGTATTCCATTGTAGGGACATACCACAGTTCATTTACCCATTCACCTGTTGATGGACATTTGGTAGTAGATTCTACTTTTAGGCTATGAACATTTGTGTACAAATTTCACGTGGATATATATTTCTTTGCTCTTGGTTGAATACATGGAGTAATATGATATATTTATGCTTAACTTTTTAGGAAACTGCCAAACTATTCTCCAAAGTGATTGTACCATTCATTCATTCATTCATTCATTTATTTATTTATTTTCCTCACCTGAGGATATTTTTCTATTTATCTTCAGATGGAGAGGGAGGGAAGGAGGGAAAGAGAGAAAGAAACATTGATGTGAGAGAGACACATCGATTGGCTGCTTCCCGCACAAACTTGACCAGGGCCGGAGACCAAACTGCAACCAAACCTATGATGCTCTAACCGCTGAGCCAAACCAGCCAGGGCAGTGACTGTACCATTTAAAATTCCTATCAGTGGCATAAGAGTTCTGGTTTTTCTTTATTATTGCTAACACTTGGTGGGATCAGTTTTTAAAATTTTAGTTATTAATAGGTGTGTTTTGGTATCTCATTTTGTTTTTGGTTGCATTCCCCCAGTGACTGATGATGATGAGCTTTTTGTGTGCTTCTTTGTTATTCAGTAATCTTTGGTGAAGTGTCTGTTCAAACAATCCTGCATTTCATTGGGTTGGTTTTTTATTGTTGAGTTTTGAGAGTTCTTTATACATTATCACTACAAGTCCTTTACAGATAAGTGCTCTGTAAAGGTTTTCTCCCAGTCTGTAGCCTCTCTTTTCCCTTGTTAACAGTGTCTTGGGAAAAGCAGGAGATTTTAATCTTTATGAAGTTCAATTTATCTATTTATACTTTAATGAAATATACTCTTGGTGCAGGGGTCAGTGCTCAACCACTGAGCCACACCAGCTGGGCTCAATATCTATTTTTTAAAAACCTGCTCAGCCTGGTTAGTAATATAAGTTTTTGTGTAACAATCTTGTTTTTTGGAACCTTGCTAAACTTACATATAGTTCTAGTAGCTTTTCCGTGGATTCCATTGGACTTTCTTTGTAGATGATCTGAAAATAAAAATAATTTTACATCTTTATTCCAATTTGGATATCTTTAGTTTCTTTTCCGCCTGATTGGACTTACTAGACTCTTCAGTACGATATTGAATTGAGTAGAGAGATCAGCTTTTCCTGTCTTGTTCCTGATCATAGGAGGAAAGCATTGAGTCTTAACATTAAGTACTATGTTTTCCATGCCCACCATTTATGAGGGTGACGTTCCCGTCTTTATGAATAATGCTGAGATTATATTTGTGTATAACTTTTTCTATGGACATGTGTTTTCATTTTTCTTGGGAATATAGGTAAGAGTGAAATCACAGGGTTAATATTTGAAGTTTATCAATTTTATTGATCTTCTCAAAGAATGCAAAGAATGAGCTTTTGGTTTTTTAATTATTCTTTTTTGTTTTCATTGGGTTTTGTTTAATTGATTTCTCCTTTGATTTTTTTTTTAACCTCACCTGAGGATATTTTTCTATTTATCATCAGATAGAGTGGAAGGGAGAGAGAGGGAGCGGAAGAGGGAGAGGGAGAGAAAAAGGGAGAGAGAGAGAAAGAGGGAGAGAGACAGAGACAGAGACAGAGACTAGGGTCAGGGACGAACCATAACCGAGGTACGTGCCCTTGACTGGAATCGAACTCTTGACTCATTGGTCCGTGGGCCGAAGCTCTAACCGCTGCTCAGCCAGGGTTCTGCTATGATTTTTATTATTTTCTTTCTTCTGCTTATTTTGTTCCTCTTTTCCTAGTATCTTAAGGTGGAAGCTGAAGTCTCAAATCCTTTCTTCTTTTCTAATCTAGGTGTTCAGTGCTGTACATTTTCTTCTAAGTACTACTTTAGGAACATCTCACAAACCTTGATGTGTTGTATTTTCATGGAGCTCAAAATTTTTTTTTATTTTTCCATTTTTATGTTTATATTCTTCTGAGCTATGGATTATTTGGAAATTTGTTATTTTGTTTTCAAACATTTAGAAAATTTCCAGAGGTTCTTCTGTTATTCTTTTCTGACTTAGTTCTGTGGTAGAGAATGCACTTTCTGAATTTCATGTGACCTGAACCTTTCTGAATTTACGAAGACGTCTTTCACCGGCAGGAACGTGCTATGCCTTGGCAATGCTCTCTGTGCGCTGGGAAGGGACGCGCCTTCTCCGGGCGCTGGAGAAGTGATCTGTCGCTGTCAGTCCAGGCACGATACTCGGCCGTGTTCAGATGGCCTGCATCCTTGTGGTTTTCTGTCTAGTTGTGTATCAGTTAGTGAGGAAAGAGTATTGAAATCTCCAATAATAATTGTCCATAAACCTGGCCCAGAACCCTGTGTCTGTGACTGTTGAATCCCCTCAAGTAGGGACCATGTCTCGTACTTCGTGACATCTGAGCCCATATAGTGACTGTTTAGTGAAAAAGGATGTTGACAACGTGAGAATTGTTTGTTAAATGTATTTAGCTGACCTTAGGTGTGTATTTGAAGGTTATATTTAGTTGAGATGCCTTTTCAGTAAAAACCTCCCAAGCATTTGCTCTTTTGAAGTATTTTACTTGGAAAATAGTTATAACAACAATTAATGTGTGTGCTGTAAAATCACTGGAATTTGGCTGTGAATTCAAAGTTTGATTCTGTCAAAATGCCAGTGAGCTTCACTTTGACTAGTCAGACGCATTCAATAAAGGTTATGTTAGAAAAATGTCTTTAAACATTTAAAATAAACTCACAGCTGTCACCTAACGTTCACAATTTCTGTTAATCTTTGGGCATTACATGTTTGATTTGTTTCCCAAGATGGCATGCACATCATTTGGATAACCTATGTGATTTTTTCTCCTCAGAGCCATAAACACTCTAAGTGTATACGGCCGCTGCTTCCTTACTTCAACGTGTCCCACCAGTTTGCCACCTTCACCCTTCAGGGTTCTTTTGTAAGTAAATACATGGGCCTTTTATTTTGGTTCTGATTTTGAGAATTTATATATTTTATCACAGGCTAGCAATTCTTAAGTGAAGTCCTATATTGCAGTTAGAAGACAACTATTGTCCCATTAGCATCTTAAAGAAAAATAGTTGTGTAATAATGTTACTGGTTGCCACCCATGTTCTTGTGGGTGAGAAAAATCATTTAAAATAACGTGTTCTTTTTTTCTTTGCAATAAAGTTTACTAAAATTTTTTTAAAAAGTTTTTGTATGAGTGGACAAATGCCGTGATGTCTTCTTTCTGCTGACTGTTCTAGTCGAACACTGCAGAAGCCACTCGGAGCTAAACTCCGAGCTCTGAGGAGCGCTCAGCAAAGGGACTTGCAAGAAAGTCGCTCTTGTAAGTGGGAGCGTCGTAGTCGAGGGAGTTTTCAGGCATTGATCTTTACAGTATTTTGTACAAAACAAGAAACACCAGATACTAGCTACTCCACCTATTGTTAGATTTGAATACAGACAATACAGCGCCCTTTCTGACTACTGATTGTCTAAGAATTGCTGTTTCATACCCGAACATTCTTAAAATGCCTTCTACACAAGTATAACATTGAGTGTTTTTGAAGCCACGGCCTTACAATCATTTAACATTTGCCAAAAGTCTATAGATATAGAAGAAATAAAATATTTGCTTGAATAATGCCTTTATATGTTCAAAGTGTTAATATTTAAAATTCGAGGGGGGCCTTTTGGTGGATGGAAAAAGAGTGGGCATGGTCACTGGTTCATTCTTGCTGGTGCTAATGTTGGAAATCCTCACAAAGGGTATGATGAACCACTCAGCTGTGCTTTCTGTGTGTTTTCTCCCCAGAGTGAAATACCAGAGCTACAGGTGTGGTACACCAGACTTGGAAAATCATCTGAGACATTTCTTTTTAAACAACTGGATTCTCTATGGGTAGTTTTAAAATAAATTCCTATATTCTGAACAGTAGAAGGGAACAGAGATTGGATTAATTAATTAAGAATTTTTAATTTTATAGTTGATTTTATAGCTGAAGCCTAATAGAGATAAAGTTACCCCCAATTGTTCGTTCTCTCTCTCTCTCTCTCTTTCTTTCTTTCTTTCTTTCTTTCTTTCTTTCTTTCTTTCTTTCTTTCTTTCTTTCTTTTCTTTCTTTCTTTCTTTCTTTCTTTCTTTCTTTCTTTCTTTCTTTCTTTCTTTCTCCTCTTGAAGGCAGTTTGTGTTTCATAGGTGTGTTTGTTTTTCTAGATATTTAGTTGTCTTGGTGAATGGCACCACCATCACTTGGCTGCCCCAGTCAGAAACTTGAGTCTCATTTGAAACTGTCTTTCCCCCTCACACTCTGTACACCTCCGGTGATCAGGAGTGTGGATTCTGTCCTGCTCGCGTTTCTCTTGTCTGTCCTGTTTCCCCACCCCCGCTGCTCCTGCTCGGTTCAGCTCCTTTCTCTTGCCCCACCCCCAGTCTGACTCTCCAGGCCCATCACTGCTGCCAGAGTGATGTGTCTCAAATGCAGATCTGATTGTTTAAATCTCTTTCCCAAAGTGCCTCAGTGATTTTCCCTGTAAGCTCCTGTCCCTTTGTGTAGCCTGTGACGCTCGCTGTCACCTCAAGAGGGGAAAGACTGCTTTCCTTCTAGATGCATGTCCTCTTACACTGGCCTCACGGGTTGAGCCTTCTGCATTTCCAGAGCATGGCATGCCAACTGAATCATTTTCGTGACTTAGTACATGCTTTTTCTTCCTTTGAGATGCCTTCCTACATTTCTTTGTCATCCTTCGAGACTCGGCTCCAGTGTCACTTCCTTGGGGGCTGTTCCCGCCAGCCTTAGCTCCTGGCCACCTAGGGATACCTGCGTGGCTAGTTTAACACGTTTCCTCTGCACGGGACACCTTGAGGGCGGGCCCTGCCTTATTCCGCTTTTTATCCCCGGTGCCTACAATAGTGCTAAGTGTACTGTGGTTTCTCAGGAAGTATTTCAAAGAATGGATTGGCCAAACAAGCACGTCGCTTTATCTAATTGACACAAATCTGCTACTTTTTCTGGTAATTATGAAGATCCTGTGAACCCACTAGTCACTCTCAATGACTGAATATTCATTAATATTAAATTCCTGGAAAAAAAGACAGTCTGTATTTTTTTGTACAACAAACTGCTAGAAATAGCATAATAAAAATTTGATTGTCTCCATGGGAAAAACAATATCATTTGGGCTTATTTCTGAATCAGACTATGGTGTTAGATATTTCATAGATCTGACCAACAATTTATTATTAAAGTAAAGATAGAATATAATAAACCCCTTTGGTTCAAAGTAGAAAAAAAGCTGCTCAAATATTATAAAACAGGCATACACCGAATGCCCGCATTAATTGTGCACAGGACTCCAGTGTGTCCAGAGGTCACCCTCTAGCATAGAGCAGGTATGAGAGAGGAGGTGTTTCTCATAGTTCACACACTGGGCTAGGAGCACTTTAGAAATATTATCTCATATAGTCCTCACAGCAGCACTATGAAGTACGTATATTTTTTCCTCATTCTGTAGACGAGGAAATTGTGGCTTAAAGAGATTAAGTTGCTAAGATCATAAATGTGTTATAAACCTAACTTGCTAATTGAAATATGTATTGAACATAGAATGAATTGTTTTTTTTTTCTTAATAGTAAAAGGTTTTCTGGGACTTACACCTGAGTCAATATTCAGAGATTTTATGGATTTTTCTACCTTAGTAAAAAATGAGTAAAGTCCTAAAGGTGTATTGAATATATATAAGCTTTAAGGAGCAGACAGTCTAATGGAAAAGAACAGACTAATAGAAATAGACTATGGGATCATCTAGTCCTCCTTCCCTCCATGTAGTGAAATTCCTTTAAAAATGCTTTCTATAAGGTATAATCTTATAAAACCTTCAAAATACCGTACAAACATTTCTGAGGGCCATGATATGGGGTATGTCCTTTACAAGTGGTTAGGAAGATCTAACAGAAATGAATTTGACTTGTCTTGAAGCTTACTTTGAGAAAAGCTATTTTGCCCAGATGAGATGAACCCAAGCGCCGTGCCTTGACCACGATGCTTCCTTTTTAGCTCCACGACAGCGGTGGCAGTTTCACAGTGGAGCTGCGCGAGGACGAGGTCTTCACACTCACCACTATCACCACCGGGCGCAAAGGCAGCTACCCGGTGCCTCCGGAGTCCCAGCCCTTCCCACGCGTCTATAAGGATGACTTCAATGTCGGTAAGTTTCCTCCTCTACACTCACTGGGTTTCTGTGTTCGGCAGTAGTGGAGAGGTTCCACCTGTCAAAGCAGCTTATGGCAGAACATCTGTGAAAAGTACGTTCATTTAGCTCTAAATCTCCATTTGGTAAACATGACCTAATTTCACCCTAGGACACTTTTTGCATTTATCTTCAGATAGAGCAGGAGGGAGGGAGAGGGGAAGAGAGAGAGAAATGTTGATGTGAGAGAGACACATCTACTGGCTGCCACCCACACAACCCCAACCAGGCCCGGGGACAAACTGTAACTGAGGTACGTGCCTTTAGCGGAGACCGAACCCGGGACTCTCTGGTCTGTAGGCTGATGCTCTAACCACTAAGCAACCGACCAGGGCAAACATGACCTCATTTTTATGTTTATTCAAGGTGAATCTCAACTTGAGGACCCTGTATTTTTCAGTGCCAGCAAAAGCAATGAGGTCATTGTCAGGACGAAAGTTAGGATTCTAACTTGTTTTTGGTGAAACTTAAGAGTTACAACGTCGCTACTTGCCCCACCATCCATTTTTCATGAAAGCCACTGTCCTTTGTGTAGAATCTGTGGCACTTTCGCATCTGTCTTCCCACAGTGCTAGTGGACTGAGTGCTCACGGGCAGTTGTGCTGTCCTTGGTAACCCCCCTCATTGTCCACTCTCGTGTGCCTGGGAGTTTTACATGTGTGCTCTCCTGGTGTTCTGGGAAGATCTGTCCTAACGCTGTTAGAAAAGCTTTTGATTATTGGTAAATTAGGAAAACTATTTGCAAAGTTCAAAGGCATGGTGTCATTATATTCCTAGATCACTCAGTCATCGACAGAAGCTGGTGACTGCTAGGTGTTGTTGCCTGGCATTGTGGACTCACAGATGGGGTCAGTGCTCGGCCCCTGCAGTGTGTAGCTGAGGGGAGAAAGGGCAAGGGAGACCGGGTTTGGAGAGAGACTGAGCCTCCTGTTGCTGCAGGGCTGCTGGTGCCACCGTGCACGGAGACTCCCACCACCCCTGCCCGGTAGTCCCCGCATCGGCTTCTGATTAAAAACATTTTTTTTCTTTATTGATTTTAGAGAGAGTGGAAGGGAAGAGGGAGACAGATAGAAACATTGATGAGAGAGAACATCAATTGGCTCCTCCTGCATGCTCCCCACGGGGACTTGGTCCACAACTTGGGCATGTGCCCTGACCGGGAATCGAACTGGCGACCTCTTGGTGCGTGGGTCGATGCTCAACCACTGAGCCACACTGGCTGGGCCCTGTGTCAGCTTCTTTCCCAGGAAATGAGCCCTGGCTGACTGGGGTACAAGGGTCTTTGGACTGTGACCTGTCCTCTCAATCATTTGCGTAACAGACCACAGTGACCCTCCTTGCACAGCAGAGTGTGGTGCTCTGTTGTCTTGAGGCGCTGGCTGGCCTCAAGCGTCCTAGCAGTCTGGGTCGGCCCCTGGCGGCAGCAGTAGCTCTTTTGCCTGCAGCCTCAAGGCGTCTGTGTGGGAAGCGCCTTGTGACCGGGACCTCTGCACCACAGCCATTTATCCCGTGACTCGAAGACTGAGAGGCAGTTCTGAACTTTCAAACCTGATATGTAATGCTTTATTGGCTGCAAATAAACTGAAATTAAAAACAATAGGCCAGGCTTTACTACTTTATAGGGTTCTTAATATCTCAAATGATGTGGGGAATGGGAAAACGCTTGGACAATCCTGGAGTGAGAAATAGCTGTAAGGTATTACGACTACAATTGCCCTTCTAGAGCCTTCATCATTGTAAGACTGTAATTTAATTTAATAAAACTAGGAAGAAATTGATAGCTTAACACCTATTTTTGCTCCCTTTTAGAAGTGGAAGAAAATACATAATTTCGCAAGTCTGCGTTTGGCATAGTGAGCCTTCTGCAAAGCTCAGCTGACGGCTGTGAGCATGATCTACAGCCTTGCCTGACAGCTACTAGAGATGGCAGAACTGTCTCTTGTTGAGCCCTTGCTGGGGGCTGGCTTATATACACAGTTTATATACATTCTTTCATGTATTCTCTTATCCTCTTCCCCACTTTGAAATGAGGAAATTGGGGAAACAGGGAAGTTAAGCAACTTGCACAGGGGGACAGACTAAGGTAGAATTTGAACCCAGGTCCGCCTTACTCCAGAATTCATGATCTTTCCTCTTAAACAGTTGCATGGATTAAATATGTAAAGTCTGTATGTCAAACTGATCATATTAACATTGAATACTGATGATGTAAAAATCAATATCTCTTTATTAACCTAGATCCTGAACTTTGACTGGTTATGGGTTTCATTTCCTTGTTTAAAAATTTTCAAGTGTTTTATTTTTATTTACTATTATTATTTTTTAATCCTTACCCGAGGACATTTTTGCATTTACCTTCAGATAGAGCAGGAGGGAGAGAGGGAGGAAGAGAGAGAGAGAGAAACATCGATGTGAGAGAGACACATCAACTGGCTGCCACCCACACAACCCCAACCGGGGCTGGGGACAAACTGCAACCAAGGTACGTGCCCTTAGTAGGAAGCGAACCCGGGTCCGTGGGCCGACGCTCTAACTGCTGAGCCAAACTGGCCAGGGCTAAAAATTTTCAAGTATTTTAAAATGTAGCATCAAATCTCAGAGAGAAAATACTCTGTAAAGATTGGATATTAAACAGAGAATTTATTATATTCTGAACAGAGTACCCGGTTTTTAGTGAAGCTCCGAACTTTGCTGATCAGACCGGCGTGTTTGAATACTTCATAAATATGGAAGACCACGGGGAGCATCGCTTCACTCTGCGCCAGGTTCTCAACCAGCGGCCCATCACCTGGGCTGCCGACGCACACAGCGCCATCAGCATCATCGGGGATTACAAATGGTGTGTAATGTGGTATTCTAACTGTATTTTTGACTGAATTTTCCTCTTAAATGCAGTTTAAGAGGAAAGATCAACAATCTTGTAATGTTGTTGGGCACATTCTGAAATGAAGACTTTCCACAGCCCTCCTGATCCAAGAACCTAACAGGTGTGTGATAGTTGTTGAAGATCATGGTGGCCACAGAGTAGCAACTTGTTTGGCTGCGTCAGTTTCCTTCCCTCAAATTTGCCCAGTTTAATAGTGATTATTGCAGTAGCAGATGATTTCAGTATTAAAATTGAGGACTTTTTGCATCCAATAATAATGTAGCATTAATTTACAGACTTTATAATTTGAGTGTGTGTGTTTTGGTTTGTTTTTTGGCTTGTTGATCTGGTGTTGCCACCTGCTGGATTTACACTAAAATTACACCTTTTTAGCCTTAGTAAAAAATCTGTTTACCAGGTGACAGTAGATGGCAATATTAAAAAGCGAAATGAGCCCTGACTATTAAAAAGTGAAATGAGCCCTGACCAGTTTGGCTCAGCGGTTAGAGCATCGGCCTGCGGTCCAGAGAGACCCAGGTTCAGTTCCCGTTAAGGGCGTGTACCTTGGTTGCAGTTGGTCCCCGTCCCTGGTTGGTCGTGTGGTTGGCAGCCACTCGATGTGTCCCTTTCACGTCGATGTTTCTCTCTCTCTGTTCCTCTCTCTCCCTCCCACTCTACCTGAACAAAAAATGGAAAAATGTCCTCGGGTGAGGATTTAAAAAATAAAAATAAAAAATAAAAAGTGAAATGAGCTTTTAGTTGGATAGTGAATTCAACTCTTTTTTTTCTTTTTGTTAATCCTCACTTGAGGATATTTTTCCATTGATTTAGATAGAGTGGAAGGGAAGTGGCGGGGAGAGAGAGAGAGACATCGATGTGAGAGAGACACATCAATTGATTACCTCCTGAATGACCCTAACCGGGGCCAGGGATTGAACCTGCAAACCAGGTACATGCCCTTGACCGGGAATCGAACCCAACACCCTTCGGTCCGTGGCTGACACTCTAACCGCTGAGCCAAACCAGTAGGACTATTCAACTATTTTCTTTAAGCATCTTGTAAAGAGACAAGTTGTATTTATCCTTCAGTTAAAATATAATGAACAACCCAAAATTTCCCTGTTCCCTTTAAGTCAGTTATGGAATTCCAATATACTGACTATTATGCCTGTTTTAGGTTTTTTTCTTTATTTCTATTTTTTCTTTTAGCTAGTATATTTCCACTGTGAAACATAAAACAGAAGCATTCCAGGTTTAGTGATACTAGCTATTAATGCCAGGCCACCAAACAGGCATATCAGTAGTTGAGAAATTGGACAGGGGAGGGAATATAATTCTGAGAAGCACCTTGAATTGTTTATCTGTGGAATGCTGCAGAAAATCTTTATCCCTTCTGTACTGCCTGTCTCCTGTTATAAATCACAGTTCTAGTCCCCAGCTCTGTGTATCTTGAGGAACTGTCAGCTATGCAGAGTTCCTGGAACCTACTGCAGGTGACATTAACACTGTGAGTTCCCACAACCACCTATGGCAGAGGTACCATCCTCCCAGCTTACAGATTGGGAAACTGAGGCCTCGGGGTAAGATTTTCCCATGATTCCACACTGGTAAATTCCAGGACCAGGGAGAGAGGCCAGATCTCTCTGGTTCTGTAGCCTATGCTCTTTGGGCCACACCTCACAGCTTTGTTTTATCATCGTCTTATTCCTAGGAGTCGGAAAGGAACATTAATGCGTGTTCTCTATAGTTCTGTTTTAGTGAATTAGTTCTCAGTGTGCACAGGGCCATTGGTTCGTTGGACTGTGTTTGCAGGAGAAGTTCCTCTCTCGTACTTACACGTAGTAAAGTACCAGCACAGGAATTTAAGGAGACTTCACCAAAGCTCCATCGTGTTAGTAAGCTTTGGTTGGGATCTGAAGATAGTCCCAGAGTCACCTATCGCTACACACATCTGAACTCCGCATCCCTTTGATCAAAGTTGCTTAATGTGTGGGCTGGTTTTCGTTCTCTCAGCACTACTGAGGGATTGTGGCCATGGAAGACTAGACCACAGGTATTTGACTTCATCATCTGTAAAATTGCCCGCAAGTTCTGATGCAGGAATCACTGATTCTGGAACGGGGCGCCGGAGGAAAGAAAAGTTTGGTCTTCTCCCTCTAAACAGAATGATTTCGTGGTGCGGACTGTGTCTGTAGCACTTTCAGACTCTGATGGGCCAGAAAAGCGGTGGGGATGTGAGGAGCATGTTGATCGCTAGTGGGTTCTTGCTGGTGGCAATGTACTGTGGGAGGGCGTCCGGAGAGACCTGGCTTCCGTGGCTTTTCCTGTGAAGTAGCCCTGCTCTGATGACAGGATTAAGCCTGGATGTCCCTTATCGTTGTGCACCTGTTATAGGCGCTTCTTCTTTACCTTTTCGTGTACGTGGTAAAATTCCACTGTGCAAATTTTATTGGTAAGAAGGAACTCCAAGAAGTGTTAAAGCCACATAATTCTAGATCCAGTTTTCCTCCATTTCCAGTGTATAGGGTGTCCCAAAAAATGTATACACAACTTTGAATAATTAGAAAACCAGTGTTTATTAAAATAAATATCATTTTCAAAATGTAATAGAATCTACAGATACCTTGTATACATTTTTGGGGGGTACCCTGTGTTTTGGGGCATTCTTAGTTTTTTTTTCGGTAAATTGTGTTCCACGCCCTCCAGATGATTTCAGTGTGCTCAGATTTGAGAACCCCTGCTGCAGAGTCAGCACAGAGTCGGCTCCGTCCTTGCACAGAAATAATTCTAGATCTGGTCTGGAGTGTTTACGTCTTGTTGGGGTTAAGCCTAAATCTTCGCCCTTGAGCCGTTCATGTTTCCCCAGACTCCTGTCATTGCCCTCACTGCTCATCTTCGCTGGTGAAAGTGTAACAAACCTTTTTGCTTAGACTTGTGTGGAAACTTAGTTTGTATGTATTCTTAGCAAAAGATGGCTTCTTTTATCATGATATAGTCTTAGGACGAGAAGTTGTTTTATTATAGAGAGATGAGAAATATTCTTAAGAAACTTAAAAACAGTCAATGTTATTTTCTATTAGTTCATTAAAAGAGACAATGAAATGACTTGAGTCATGTAAAACTTAAAACCATCACCAGCGAAGACTCTTGAGGCTCATTCCTGCTACAAGCACAGATCTAGCAAATCACAGCCTCGCCTCCACGGGAGATTCGGTAGCATGTGGCTGTGAAATGTCACCTTGTGCTGCCCCTGGGATATCACCATTAGAAGCCTAACCAACAGTTTCCTTCTGCAGGTCCAATATGACTATCAAGTGTGATGTTTACATAGAGACCCCTGAGAAGGGAGGTGTGTTCATTGCCGGAAGAGTAAATAAAGGTGGTATCTTGATTAGAAGTGCCAGAGGAATTTTCTTTTGGATTTTTGCAAACGGAACCTACAAAGTTACAGGTGATCTGGGTAAGTGACTTGCTCTACAGCACACGAGAGGCAACTCAGTAAAGGAGAAAATTGTGCAAACTTTTTCGGGTGTTAGAGAGTTGAGCTGGCTGTCAGGGTGGTATTGGCATAGACTGGGGTGAGGCAGTAGCGGGAGAGAATGCTCAGGAAAAATTGTCAGTAAAAGCACGACGATAATGTGGCCACCGAGCTTGTGGAAATACAAGGAGATGGATATGCTTAAAATGGGGTAGTCCTAGTCCCTAATTTAGTTAATAATTTGAAGACAGCATGCCTTTTCTCATTCGCCTTAACAGCCCTTGTTATATGTAGAATAGTGTTTTATCCAGAATAGGTGCTTAGACTCGGTTCATGTTGAAGTCCATCCAGTTCCTTGGGCGTTGGTATACACACTGCTCTGTTGAAACTAGACCTTATGGTGCTGACTCTTCTTGGTTCTCAGTCTCCTGACTTTCATCTTGTTTTAATAAAAAAAATCTCTCCTACGGTTTGCTGCTCTTTGCCTCTTCCTGAGGTGAAAAGGGCTTCATAAGTGCACTAAAAATAAGAGAGGAAGAGGACATTAGAGTAGAAATTGCATAATCACAGTGTGACTGATTAGAAGGCATCTCACATTTTCCAGTCCAAAGCAGAGAGCCAGAACAGATCGTTGATTTGCCCAAGGTCTCAAAATGAGTTGGCGTCAGGATTGGGACTGAGAATTTAAATCTCTGTCTTCAGTCCCCACTGCCCTATCTTTTCAACTGGCCCCTTGGCATCTCATCCTGGGTTTTTCTCAGGCCCTGAAATATAACACATCCCCAAATTAATGAATTATTTTCTCTCTCTAATTCTCAGTGAATGCTGTTACTCTGTCATCAGTTACCCAGCTGGAAATCTTATGGGAGTCTTATTCTCCTCCTTATGCTCCGTAGACAGTTCAGTCAGGGGCAGGTACATACTGCAGTTATAGAAGCTGATGCATGATACCACAGTTGGTTTGTGAGTCTATTTCTCTGCTTCTCCTGTGAGCTCTCATATGGTATGTGGTCTAGAGTGGGATCTCAATGTGTGCATGTTGGTTGCATGCCTGAATGAAAGGTGTTTTGTTTTAAATCAGTTGTAGATCTCAAAATGTAGATCTTTATTGAGGTCGACCTTACCGCACAGATGCCACCCGAGAGCCCACAGTGAGTGCTGTGATCTGTGATTTAGATGACCTTTTTGTGTTACAGCGGGATGGCTCATCTATGCTGTAGGGCAAGTTGACGTTACCGTGAAGGAATGGTATACACTCACTTTAACTGTCGAGGTAAGTATTGTTATCAGAATGCCTGCAGGTAAGATGTCTTCCCTTGTCTCTTTCTAGCATCCTCTGTTAACAGATGAGAAGGGGGTAGTGTGACAATAATGGAAATAGGCAGAAAATCTGCCAGGATACCAGCAAACCACCACTTCTAGAATGAGAGTATGCGTCAGGGTGAATCCACAGGAGAACCATCAGCTGTTGACTTGATCACCCCAGTAACTGAACTATTTTTTTCAAGTTTACTTGAATGAAGATTATAATGGGAACTTATAGGTATAAGCAAAGTCACACATTTATTTTCAATGATTGAATATAATTTGATTTTTGACTGTCAGCACAATATTTTAGAAGTTGGTGTCTGTGACTATGTTTGTCAGAGAAGATACCAGGTTATTTGTAGTACCATGGGCATCTAAAAATATTTGGTAGTCACTGGCTGATCATGGATGATTGATTGACATGCTTCTAAGAGATGCTGTGTGGAGAAATTCTTCTATATGAATATATTGCTCTCTGCCAACATAGTCCTGGCATTATTTTGTTCAGATTACAATAGAGATTAAAAATGGAATTCATGTAACTTTTTGAACTTGTTCTCTTTCCTTACCCAACCACCAAAAATGACAGTATTAACTTTTCAGGCAGTATCAATATGCGTTGACCATCATAGTTTATTTAACTATACCACACTTGATGGGCATCACTTTTTCCCCAGTCCCTTCCTTTTTTGGAGCTCTGAGGAAGTAAGGGATGCCTTTACTTGCAGATAGATGGGAGAGAGCCTTTATGTGTCTCTCAGGGTGCACATATTCTATTTTTTGTTTGGGTAGATATTTAGAAGTGGACTTGCATTTTAAATTTTAACAGATACTATTGCTAGCTAAACTGTATTCATTTTTATAGCAGTTATAATAATATTTGGTGTTATCGAGTCTTAAAGATATTTTTTCAAACTAATAGACATGATTTTTATTTCTTTGATAAGTAGGGAGGCACTGTACCTTTTATGTTCATTGGTCATTTGTATTTTCTCTGAAATTACCCACTGAATTCTTTCCTTATTTTCCTATTGTGTTGTCATTTTCTGATGGACTTGTATGAATTTATTATATATTCTGGGTAGTAACCCATTGTCTGTTAAATGTGTTACACATATTTTCTTCTTTTCTCTCATGATTTGTATTTTAATTTTGTTTATGGTATATTTTGTGAATAGAAATGTAAAATTTTGGTATTGTCAAATATTTCACTTTTTCTTTATTTGTTTTATGTTTTATTTAAGGAGGCCTTCCCTTTTCTTTAGGTTAGGAACATTTTCCCCCCTAAGCTAAACAAAGTTTAGGATTCGTTTTATTTTTAGGACTTTAATCCATCTGGAATTTATTTGTGAATCATAATGCTAAGAGCCTGATATATATATATATATATATACACACACACACACACACACACACACACACACACATATATATATATATGACAAATAGATAGCTATCATCATGACTGACCTTTTGCCTATGATTTAAAAGCCACCTTGTGGGCATAGGCTTGTTTCTGAGCATTTCTCTGTTCTTTATATTTCATGGTTTGTCTATTATTATCCAGTATGACACTTTAAATTGCATTAACTTTCTAAACTCTTTGATCACGTGGTTTGCTCCCTTAGTTCCTTTAAAGCTCTTTCCCAACCATCTTGTATAAAATAGCATTCTCTCTTCCCCTGCTTTGTTTTTCCCCAAAGCTCTGATTACCTCCTGACATCCTGCACCCCCGCTGAGAGTCTGTGTGTTGTCCCGGCTTCCTGCACTAGGTGGCGCCCCTGCAGTGACAGGCCTGTCTGTCTCACTCACTGCAGGCTCTCCGGCACCTGGGAGGGCTCCTGGCAAAGGTCAGAGGACTGAGCCGGAGTGGATACCCCATGGGCAAGACCCGCGTTCTTTTCCCAAGTTATCTTTGCTATTCTATATATAATTTTCTTTTTGAATTGTTAAATCATCTTTTCAATACCATGAAAAATGCTGCCAGTATTACACTGAATTTATACATCAATTTGGGCAAACATAACTTTTTTTTAAAAGAATAATGTGTTTCCCCATCAAGAACATGGGAACAAGAACATAGGAACAAGAACATGGGACCAAGAGCAGGCTTCACCTCCCCATTTTTTAAGATCTACTCTGTCCTTTTACTTTTGTAATTCTTATACTTTTCTTATGAGGCTTATTTTTCATAATTTTATACATTTTTTGAATTCATGCGGGGATTTAAAAAATAAGTTTCCTTAATTTTTTTTAGGTACTTTGCATACACAGTAACAAAAAATCAAAGGAGCTTTTGAAAACAGCTGCCTCCTGCCTCCCTCCCCTGTTCCTTTCTCATCCCCAGTCTGGGCTCTGCTTCTCTGATGCAGCCACTCTGCTGATTGCAGCTGTTTCTTCCGCTGTCTCCTTAACACAGTGGGGTTCATTACTTTTACAAATTAGCTCTGGTCTCGCTACTGGGTGGGTGGGGGTTTTGCTGACTTATCCCCCACCCCACCTCCACCAGCCCATTATTGTGTGTTCCGTCGGCTGTGTGTTCTGCTCCTCTCTTGCATCTCAACTCTGCACATTCTCTGAAAGTTCTCCAGCGCTCCAGACTAAAGTAGTCTCTGGACCGCAGGCCGACACTCTAACCGCTGAGCCAAACCGGCCGGGGCTAAAGTAGTCTCTTGGGCACCTGCACCACAGCGACCTGTTTTAATTCTTCACCTGCCACTCATCGTTTAGGTCCTATGGTGTGTGTGTGTGTGTGTGTGTGTGTGCGCGCGCACATGTGTGTGCACGTGTGCATGTGTACTTGTAGGCTCCGAAAAAGCAGGGACCCTGTCTTTCTCATGCATCCTAAATTCCAAGTGCATTAACGCATTTGGCATGCAAATATTTGCTACGTAAACTAAAACAACAAAGCAAAAACAATGTCTTCTATGATGTCTGTTTTTTAGCTAAATTATAGCTAATACGAGGATTTTCTCACTCTAATATTGGCCATTTTTTTTTATTTCTTCTCAGCACATGTTGGGTGCTTTACCCTCAGCACTGTTGTCGTGTTTAGAAAAGGGACTTTGAGGTCTGTTGTGCTCATTTGCAAGTATTTTATATTGCACATCTTCTGTTTGCCCATCCGTAATATGAACACACACCCTTCTGATGAAGACTGAATAGGACAATATATTGAAAGTTTGGTCCAGTCCCTGATGTGTGGGAAGCTGTATTCCCAGAAAAGCACACATAGTAAATGCTTAACAAAAAGGTATCAGATGAAAGAATAAAAACATTTAACCCTAACGCCACCTTACAGAAGTTATCTCCATTTTACGTATAAAAATCCAGAAGCTCAAAAAGGCGAAATAACTTTCTGGAAGCACTGAATGGACCAAGTCAACGTTCTCAGGAGCCGGCGTGTGTGGAACCAGACAGGCCAGCATTCCTGTTACCTCTCTGATACATCCCGAAGTTTCCAGAAAGTTATTTCACCTTTTTGAGCTTCTGGATTTTTATCCGTAAAATGGAGATAACTTCTGTAAGGTGGCGTTAGGGTTAAATGTTTTTATTCTTTCATCTGACATATTTTTGTTAAGCATTTACTATGTGCGCTTTTCTGGGGATACAGCCTCCAGCAAGCCAGACGAGGTCCCTGCTCGCAGAGCCTGTGTTCCGCCAGGGGTTAGCGAGCTCGTCTGCAGAGGGTTGGATGGTAACCATTTGATAGTTGGTGAGCCACGTGGTCTGCCTTGCAGCTACTCAACTCCGCTTTTGTAGTGAGCCATGCACTAGGTAAATGAATGGGTGTAGCTCTGTTCCAGTAAAATTTTATTGATAAAAATAGGTGGCTGGCCTGTAGGCCAGAGTTGGCTGACTCCTGTTCTTAAGACAGTGAACTTGTAGATAAATCAATAAATAAAATTATGAAAAAAAAAAAAAAAAAAAAAGAGGAATGAGGTAAGTAGCTCCCCTGCCCAGATTTTCTAGAGAGAGAGGTCAGGCGAGACCTCCTGGAGTGGGCGATGTGAGCTGAGGGCGCCCTGCGACTGGCCTGATGTGAGGAGCAGCCAGGCCAGGTGGGCTATGCCTGGGGGGTGAGGGGCAGGGGCAAGGAGATGGGGTCCTGTGAGACAGCGGCTGTGCTCACTGTGGTTTGTGTATGTGAGTCCCTTGGCTCAGTGTTAACATTCATCGTTTCCTAAGTGGCAGGAGATGTCCAACAAGCACTTGTAGAGCTGAAGGTAGCTGTGCGTGTGGTAGGGATAGGGGTGTATGTTGACAACTAGGATTCCGTTCCTAGCTCTGCTGGTAAATCTTGACTTTGATATTTTAATCTTAAGTCTGAGTATCTCCATCTGTAAAACGAAAGAACTAAATTGAAGTCCATTGCATTACATCACTTAAAAATAGATTTTAGTTCTTGTCCTCATGCTTTGGCTCTTCAGCTCTTCATCCTTTGAATTTCGCTAGTATGAAATGTTGAGCTGTAATTGTATGCTGTGAATGTGTGCTTACAAATGTGCTGTAATAATGATAATAAGAGCAAGCTAGCATTTTCTCAGTGTGTGCCCGGCGCTTAGCTAAGTGGGAATGACAGCCATGTGAAGAGGACATTGCTTTGTCTTTCTCTGTCAGTGACCAGTAAGTGATTTCCAGGGATCCTTCCCTTCCTACTCGCCCCCCCCAATCATCACTGATAGTGACTATTTTTCTAACGTAAGGGTGGGCTCTTCATATGACTTTGAAGTGATCTTCTGTACATGGGGACAGAAAGGGCTTAACTATATGGACGTTTGGCTCTAGCAGTCATAGCTGAAGGACCGGTGGCGATTGGCCACAGCCTGTGCACATGCAACTGCTTGTAAATAACAAGCGCTTTCGGTTTCAGTGGGCTCCTGTCTAAAGTTTTATAATAATGTGATGAAAAGTTTCACATTTCTGTTGGTTTGACAACATTTTGGTGGAGTCCAAGGAAATACTGAGATATCCCTTGTCTTGGACACTATTTTCATAGGTAGATAAGAATTTCCTCTTGGAAAAGTATTCCTGTTTTTCAAACTTTTATTCTAACTCATGGAATTGCTTTCCCGTAGTAGGTCTTAAGTGAGAAGGGTATTTGCTGCACTTAGTCTGTGGGCCACACATTATTAGGAAACAGAGTTGCGAGAGTTGTTTCATATGTCTCCAGGGGTGCCTCTCCCTCTCCCCAGGGTCGCTTCTCGTCCGGCATGCTGAACGGCAAGTCTCTCTGGTCAGACATCCAGGTGAATTTCCCGAAGAATGGCTGGGCTGCGATTGGGACCTACTCCTTTGAATTTGCACAGTTTGACAACTTTTATGTGGACGCTGCACCCTGATATTCACAGAGCACTGCAGAATGCTCCTTGGAGTTTTATTTCTTTCCTTTGTAAGGGTTTTGGTTCAGAGCCAAAACAATTCTTATTTTGATGGATCGACATATGAGCCTTTGGAAGCTAAAAATAATGAACAGTAAATGAGGAGAAAAGATATTTTTACTTGATCCTGTGGAAGATATTTTTAGAACGAATTTCAAGGGGAGAAACAGGTGAATCTTTCACATCACCTGGTATGTACCCTACAATTCAAACAGTACATTGACCCCATCCTTAGGAGTGCTGTGGGGGGTCCAGACTGTGAAGCCTTGGTGTAAATGCTAAGGCCACTCTCGTCATCTCGTTTGCCAGCGATCATGTAGATGGCAGTAACCTGATCGTATTTATGGGTGCTGATGTGCGTCTCAGTGAACAGATGTCCTTAAGGTAATGCTGCCGTGTAGGAAGCTGAAGAACACTGGAAATGCTGCCTTTGGAAAACCACTTCAGCGTGCTATTCTAAAAAGTATTTCTTATTTTCCTTTTTATGATGATGCTTTTGAGTTATAGATATGATGGGTGGAATGATTTGAAAAATGTCTCATTAATAAACTACCTCTAAAGCAATAATAAATAATAGCAGATTAATTGGGTTCTCTGCATTTTTTTATTCTTTCAGACCTAACTTTTAGTCGTTTAACCCTTATAACTGCCTGTTATAACATTTTCCCAGGTGGCTGGAAGGAAGAAGAAAACCTCTATAACCAATGTTGTAAGTGGGTCTAAAGATGAAATGGAAGCAAATTTTCTTGTCTCATTTCATCGTGCTTTTCATTCTGTCTGCTCTTGCGTCACTGGTAACCGACTAAAAGAGCTACTGTGTTCTCTATGTGCTGCCGTGCAGAAGAAGGGGTCACGGAGCTATTTGCTAGTTTGTATTTGTGTGGTTAGATGCATTTATTTCAGTAAACTACAAATGCACTTATATTTAAGTATGGATAAGCATGTTTGTCATGAAGTATAATTTATATTTAACAATTAGTGTACTTCCTAGAAACATCTCAGTTATTCATGTGGATAAGGTGAATTCTGGAATTCTTTATAATGAAAGTTTAAAGCGACGATGACTAAATTCTTTGATTTTGGAATTTGTAATGGTTTAATGTAGGCTAGAGATGAAATGTTGTATTACTATTAAACACAAGAAACTAAATATTAGAATAAGTCAGATTACAGAGAACAAATTTAAATTAAAATGAAGTCTAAGTGATTTCTAGTTTAATCCCTGCATATTAAAAAAAATTAATGTTACTGAGGTATAATTTACATACAATAAAGTGTTCTCATTTCAAGTATACAGTTCAGTGAGTCTTGATAAAGGATGCATACATGCAACCTGCACCCCAAACAAAACGCCAAGCGCCCCATCGCTCCGGAAAGCTCACCTGTGCGCCGTGCAGCCTTCCTCCCCCTCCCGTCTCAGGCCGCCTTGGACCGCGTTCTGTCACCGCTGACACATGTCCTTTGTTCCCAAACACTTTACAAGTGGCATCATACGCTCTGTACTCTTCTGCGAGTGATTTATTTCAGTCAGCACACTGCTTTTGAGATTTGATCACGTTGCTGTGTTTATCAGTGGTTTGCTCCTTATTTCAAAGAGCATTTCATCGTGTGGCTAGACCACAGATTGTGGCCTCCCAGTCTTCGGCATTACAAATGAAGCTGTTCTGAACATTCGTGGACAAGTCTTCATGTGAACATGTGTTTTCATTTCTTCTGGGTAAATACCAAGGAGTGAAATTGTTGGATCTTTTGGGAAGTGAATGTTTAACTTTATAAGAAACTGGCAAACTGTTTTCCAAAAAACGGTTGTGTGATTTGACACTCCCATCAGCAATGTTTGAGAGTTTCAGTGGCTCCGCATTGTTGTCAATGCCGCATGTTGTTGTTGTTTAAATCATTTTAACCCTCTCTGTGGGTTTGTAGTAGGTGCATTAGATGTTGAGCATCTTTTCATGGGCTTGTTTTTCATTCATATATTTTCTTGTGGGAAATCTCTGTTCAAATCTTTTGCTCATTTTAAAAATTGGGTTGTCTGTCCTTTTGAGTTGTAAGAGCTCTTTATATATTCCAGATGCAAGTTTCTTTTCTTTTTTTTAAAAAAAGTCAGGTATATATTTTATTAATTGCTTTTTTCCAAGTCCATACTTTTTGAAGAATAAAAAATTTTAATTTGGAAGTCCAGTTTATCACTTTTTATGGTAGGTGTTTTTTTTGTGTCCTAAGAAATATTTTTCCCAAGTTTACAAGGATTTTTTTTTTCCCTTTGATTTCTTCTAGAAGTCTTATATTTTAGCTTTTACATTCAGATCTGTGATCCATTTTGCATTAATTTTTGTATATAATGAGAGGTTTGAGGTTCATTTTTTTCCTTTATGAATATTCAATTTTTTCAGCATCATTTATTGAAAAGACCATCCTTTGTCCTAAGTCAATGACTATGAGTGTATTAATCTGTATATCTTTAGGCAAATACCACTGTGTCTTCATTACTGTAGCTCTATAGTAAATTTTGAACTCAGTTTAAACCCTCCAACTTTGTTCTTCAAAGCTGTTTTGGCTAACCTAGGTCCTTGCACATTTTCATATAAATTTTAGACTCAACTTCTATATTTCTGCCAAGAGCTTTCTGGAATTTTGATGGGATTACTATGGAATTACAGATCATTTTAGGGAGAATAGTTGTCTTAATATTGACCCTTCAATCTCTGAGCCTGTTCCATGTCCACATTTTTTTGGCTTTCCATATGTCTCTCAGCAATTTATGTAGCTTTTAGTGTACAGTGTAATGCTATTGTAAATGCTGTTTTTTTATTCCATTTTTATTTTTATTTATTATTTTTAAAAATATATTTATTTTTGTTACAGATGTTTCTCCTTTTTCCCCTACTGATACCCTCTTCCCCCTCCCTCCCCACCCTGTCCCCAGCTTTGTTGTCCATGTTCATTGTTCATGCATACATGCATATAAGTTCTGTGGTTTATCTCTCCACCCCTCTTCTTGGGATTGTCAGCCTGTACCCCACTTCCACGTCTCTGGGACTACCCCATTCCTCAGACTGTTATGTTCATTGTATTCCACAAATAAGTGAGATCATGTGATATTTGTCTTTCTCTGCTTGGCTTGTTTCGCTTAGGATAATACTCTCCAGGTCCCTCCATGTTGTCTTAAAGGATAAGAGATCTCTATGGGAGAGCATAATTGCCAATGATACATCAGATAAAGGGTTAATTTCCAATATATATAGAGTGCTCATACAACTCAACAAAAGGAAGACAACGAACCCAATCAAAAAATGGGCAGAGGAACTAAATAGACACCTCTCCAAACAGGACATACAAATGGCTAAGAGACATATGAAGAAATGCTCAACATCACTAATCATCAGAGAGATGCAAATTAAAACAACAATGAGGTATTACCTCACACCTGTCAGAATGGCTGCCGTCAACAAATTATCAAACAACAAGTGTTGGCGAGGGTGTGGAGAAAAGGGGACTGTAGTACACTGCTGGTGGGAATGCAGACTGGTGCAGCCACTATGGAAAACAATATGGTGTTACCTCAAAAAATTAACAATTGATCTGCCATTTGACCCAGTGATCCCACTTCTAGGAATATACCCTAAGAAGCCTGAAACACCAATCAGAAAGAATATATGTACCCCCATGTTTGTAGCAGCACTATTTACAATAGCTAAGATCTGGAAACAGCCCAAATGTCCATCAGTAGACGAATGGATAAAAAAGCAGTGGTACATATACACAATGGAGTACTATGCAGCTGTAAGAAAGAAAGATCTTTTTTATTCCATTTTTCAATTATTTGTTGTGCATATGTCAAAATACAGTTGCTTTTCTTATGTTGGCCTGCAATCCGACGGCATTGCTAAATTCACCTATCAGTTTTACTAGCCCTTTTCCCCCTGAAAATTCTTTAGGATTTCCACATACAAAATAATGTCATCTGTGAATACAGATAGTTTTACTTCTTCCGTTCCTATATGTCCGCTGTATTTCTGGCGTTGCTTTTTTGCAGTAGTTGGGGCTTTCAGTACAATGCAGGAAAGTGGTGAGAGCAGATGTCCTCGCCCTGTTCCTGATCTTAGGGGCAAAACCACTAAGTGTGATGTTAGCTGTAGAGGTGTGTGGCTACTGGTAATCATGAATTGTATTGATTGAAGCAGACCAAGCCAAGCCTCCAGATGAAAAATACTCTGCAGATCGACAGAGTTACTTCACACTCTTTCTTAGTCCATGCCGTCTGCTATAGCAAAAGATAACAGACTGGGCAGCTTATAAATGACAGAGACTTCTCACTGCGTCCTCAAAGGGAGGAAGGTGCTAGGGAGCTAGCTCCGTGGGTCCTGTTTTGTAAAAGCACCAATCCCATTCATCAGGGCTCCACCCTTCCAAAGGTCCCGCATCCTAATACATCGTATGGAGAATTAGGATCTCAACAGGTGCATTTGGAGCGACACAAACATTCAGACCACAGCTCCGTGGTAAGAGTACTGGACTTGCGTCCTAACGTGTGGGTTGAATGCAGCTCTGCTACTTACTTCTCTGACTCTGGTCGAACCGCTCCAGCCCCGCACTGGAGCTCCGGCCTCATGAAGCCCAGTGGCTGGGCTGCTCACAGGCACCTGCCCGCCCGCAAGGCCCAACTCCGTGACTGCTGAGTCTGAGTTTCTCTTAATTCATTCACGTCTTGCTTACATGAAGAGGTCATTGTTTACTAAATGAATGTGGTTCCCCCGCCCCCATTGTTTCCCATACTGAAAATGGTCATGCAATGCCTTCTACATTTTCACTCTGGCAAAATGGCTTCAAGTGAAATCATTTTGCAAGTGGTATTTGACTTCATTTTAAGTAATACAGATAAGCCTAGACCCCATTCTTCTACCTACATGACCTGCTCAAAAAAAGACTGTCACTCTCACAGAACTGCGGGTAATGTTTTAACTCGTGGTGACAAAACCTTGTGACAAGTTAGACTAGAGTTGAGAGGCGAGATTTAGAAACCAGTGTTCTACAGTTTTTGCTCATAGGTGGATTCTTCCTAGCACTTGATTTTTCTTTTGTCTTGCTAATGTTTTACTTTCACTTGAAAGAGCCTGGTTTTCCTTGTATGTCAGTTATTCTAATTCATTATATTCTGAAAATAGATTTTTTTTTTTCTTAATTAAAGTTCATGGATAAGTTGAAGCTGTTCTAAAATGCATTCTCTTCCTCCTCTTCCTCTAGCTCCCCTCTGCCTCCCACTCCTCCTCCCCTTCTTCCCTCCACCTCCTCCCTCTTCCTCCCCTCCCCTCCCCTCCCCCTCTTTTCCCTCCAGCTCCTCCTCCTCCATCTCCTCCTCCTCATTGCACCTCCCCCCACTCTTCCCCTCCTTTCCTTCTCCCCCTCTCCCCTTCCTTTTCCACCTTCTTCTTCCTTCCTCCCCCTCTCCTTCCTTCTCCAATAAAATTGAACTTGATGCTCCATAGAATTGGGCATTATTACTCAACTAAAAAAAAAAAAAAATGCAGACACTTTGAGGGATTATGGGAGACTGCTGAGCAAGACAGTCGA